CCCCCCCATCCGATCATGTGACCCGTGTCTGGCCGGGGAAGGGAGGGGAGTGAAGATGATGTCATCCACAAAGATATGATCACAGGAGATGTGAGACCTACTTCCGTCCTCTGCATCACTCAGCGCTGACATGTGACACGAACAGAGTGCAAAATGCATGAATAATGATGACACTGATGTCTGAAAAGCAACTAACGACTGTTTGCCCTGAATACTTCACCACACTCTTGCATTCTCCAATCATAACACAACTTGCAGTATGTGACACCACTCGTGTAGGGGGTACAAGGAAAAGATCTGACTGGAGCTTTCCAGCACTGAGATATATATTTTAGGAGCACGTAGCATGTGTAGCTGGGGCCAAAGAGGATTATGCTGAAATACAATATTGGATTGCCTACCGAGATATGTAAATAATTTAAGATACATTCAGGAAGCCTTGTTTTGTTCCCTTAGCTTAGCATGTACAATAAAAGTAAATGGATACGACAGTTTTATTGTACACAGTGAAATTGATCAGTTGGGTTAAATGAGGAAACCCGTTAAAATTAAATAAATAAATAAATAAATAAACCATGCGTACTTGAAAAAAACTTGACAATTCCACATAACTTATTTTTTTCAATTACACATGAAGTTTATACTTAAAATGTTATGGCAACAGGTTTTCTCACTTTTTTAAGTTGCCAACTGATTTTTTTTACAATATTTGACGCTTTTTACAGATTAAAAGCATTCTACAAGATAAATCCTTTTCTGTTCAACGCTAAAAGAAATTCATACAGGTTTGGGGCGACATGAGGGGGAGGAAATGAACATTGGAAAAATCTCCAAAAACATTCCTATACATACGATTTACTGCAGTTTCTATCTGAAATAAAGTAAAACACCAACAAAGTTTATTCATTTTCACACAAATTACAATTACAGGTGCAGATTATCGATTTATGACGGCAAAATTATGCTTTTACCATAGTGCATGATTTGTGAACTAGCCTAATACAATTTGCATCACATGACCAGCCCCATAAGTATGCTTTTCAGTCATACTAAATTTGTTTGGTAGCTCACCTGTACAGCATTGCACGAAGCGCTCGGGTACGAGTCCTATGAAACATGCATCATAATAAAGGAGCACAAATACTTGCAGAAGCAAGTTAAAGCGTTGGTTGCTTCAGCCAAATCATTTTTACCGAACGTTTTCTTTTTTATCACTATCAGTTAGGTTTGCTGTAGGTGCTACGTTGTTATCAAACGCGACATAGACATTTTATTTCTGAACTACTGCCATACGTACAAGAATCAAATTCATAAAATGGTGGTTGAAATGTCAGATTTTTAATTTTTGGGAGAACTATCCCTTTAAACACATGTTCGTGAGTTGTTTTCTTATGCTGGTATAGTCAGGTCAATACTTCACCCGTGCCCTAACCCCCATCCTGCCTGGTGACACACTACTGCTTTGCTTATGCTTATGCAAAACAGTGTGTTTTGAATGTGGATGGGGCGGATGTTGCTTCCGGAGATGCAGACGTGTGTGTGTGTATGTGTGCGTGTCAGATGACAGGATTAATGAGAGGGCGGTGAGCCATGCTGCTGTTGGTCAGAGCTGAGTTAGTCTGAGGAAACCACAATGTGGAGGCCTGTCCGCTGGTTTTACCATGCTATGGAAATCAAACAAATGTCTGTGGTTATATTAGACAATGCAACAAAGAAAGAAGAAGCTACTAAGTTTCAGCTTTGTCTCTTGGGATATTTTTAAGTTGAGGCATGTACTTTTAGGTACTCAACTTAGAGACTCGCATTCTGACCAGCATGACACAGCAACACTGGCTCAACCAATGGTGTCAGTTTAGGGCAGGGCTATCTGTGTGACTGGCCAATGGCATTCAATCAGCTGATGCTAATAGAGCAGAATTTGGACACTATGACCCAATTGAGACACAAATATGGCTTTTCGAGAGGTTAGTAATATTTCTTATATAGATTTCACTGCTTGCATAATGAACCAATTGTTCAGTCCAACTGATATTAAAGGGACAGTTCACCCAAAAATACAAATTCTGTCATAATAATCAGTTGAACCTCCACCAACCATTGACCTCCACTGTATTTTCTCCTATGGACGTCAAGTTACCGTCGTCATCTTCTATTGTGTTCAAGAACAAAGAAACTCACACAGGTCTAGAACAACTTGAGGGTGAGTAAATGATGACAACATTTTTGGGTGAACCATACCTTTAACAAAAATGTTTCTTAGACCTCCTAATATGCTAGATATCATATAGGGAACAAGATGATCTGTTTCCTCTGAGCACAGTGACTAATTGGCCAAACATCAGTATCACTACCCCATGTCCATAACTCACATTACTTGTGGCTTTGCATTTCCGCCCAGTCATGAGGCCGGCCGTTGAAACTCATCAAAACACGAGTTTGCTCAGCTGCCTTTGTTTCTGACTTTTTTTTTTTTTTTTTTGAACAGCCACAGTTGATCACATCTTGAGCCGGAGGCATCAAATTACATTAAAATAGCATTTTTACGGCACACCTTTAAATGGACAGTTCAAATTCCTCAGAATCATTTATTTACCCCCATGCTACACTTGAAAACAAAAGATCTTTTAATAAATAAAAAACTGACAAAATAATCAGACAAAGCACTGTGATATTTTTAGATAAACTTTTTTTGTGTGTTCCACAGAAAAGTCATACAGGTTTGGAACGATGTAACTGTGAGTAAACGATGATACAATTTTCGGTTTTGAGTGAACTACCCCTTTATGCAATTACATATTTTACTGTGGTTTTACACTTGACTCGTGTGTCATAACTTTCTGTTTCCTCTAAATTGGATGAATCATGTTCTAGGATAGCAATGGGGTGCTGATGACACATTTGCTGAACAATGCAGGAGAACGTTCAGGCCTGGACCTTCATGTTGTTGACACTCAAGTATTGCACAAAAGATGATTAAAGAGCTAATCATTTTGAAAACAAGAATGAACGAGAGGAATGAAGGAATGAAGTTAGTAGGCTTGCTGGGAATGAATACTTTCTAATGAATAACCCAGTTGGCAACAATGACAACAATATAAAAACAATAACAAACTAGCATGCTCTTTTGCTCTGTAATGCTCCTTCTTTCCTTATAGAGCATATAACCATCATATATCACTATTGAACTAGTCATGGCTGAAATTTCAGCAATGGATGATAAAGATAAAAAAAAAATATTTGTATCTCCATAATATCTCCATTTAATCTTAAAAGAAATAGTTCTATGTTGAAACCTAGGGTCATTGACTCAGTTTTAAATAAAACAAGATTCTAAGATTGCATTATACTTTCATGTTTCATTAAATCTAAATTCATAAAATTATGATGGGAACCCCTAAAATGTATTATGCAACTGACAGAACCCTTTAAGGTTAATATATAATATTACTATATAAAACCGTTTCCTCTAAGAGTGTATAATCACATAGTTGGAGAGCAAATTGAACTTAACCTATTAACTTTTAATGGGAAAATAATCCTCTTCCTGGATTAATTGTTGTTTCAGTATTTTGGCCTGAAATCATGTGTCACAGTCAAATCCATTTAGACCAATCAAATCCTTGAACCGAACTATGCATACAAACCCACGCAGAGGCAAGCACAAGTGACAGTCTCTGAACTGACAGGACATTCTCATGGGAGCATCTTCCCGTGTACACACAGGAAATGGCTAAATGGCTTGAATACGCAGGAGTATGTATGTTTAATGAATGATTCGAAGAGAGAGAGAGGGAGAGCACATGACTCTTGGGTGGGACCAGTATAATGAGGTCAACCGTGTTGTATCCAATGACTCATGTTCCATACCCCTGGACTAAACCACTTCCTGTTTGCCACATGAGTACAAATAGTAGGCTACATAAAAGCAAAGCTATAATGCTCAGATTATAACATCCTTCTCTCCATACTATATGAAAATGCATGAAATCAGCCTCACTCCCAACCCACTATCAATCCTCACACATAAACACACATCACAGATGTGGTGGTGAGTTTGACGTCAAGCGCTCGGCTCAAAGTGGCTGCTCCTCCCCTCGCCTGCGCAGAGTCAACACATCATCCTTTTGCAGTTTCTTCATGTGCCATCGCTTCGTTGCTATGACAGCTATGATTTACCCATGGTCCCCGTGAGAACGCAGAGCACTACACACGTGCACTGAGCTGCCATGGCGACAGGCCACATGGCATCTCAAGGAATCGTCACCAACTCATTTCCACTCTGAGACATTCAAACCTCTATACATTGCCTAAAGAGCAAGGGGTTTTCAAACGTTTTGATATCACAGACCCCCAAATATGATGGACCCCATATAGGTCCATAACTCAAGCATGCAATCACGTCATTCTATAGGGCACATCTGTTTGGTTTCTGCTGTATCAGCAACCATTGAGATCGCTGCTTAACCTTTAAATACTTGGTCAACATTTGCAATAGCTTCAGAAACCCTCCACTTTCCCCAGCTCCACCTGTGTAGATCTGCAAACAGTGGTGTAGTCTATGTGATACGCAGGTATACGCAATATACCCACTAGGAAATGTCAAAGATCTCCATATACCCACTTAAAAAAGCATGAGGATTCGTAACAACATCGTTTGGTGAAAGAACTTTCATTCATAAATTCAACAGATGTAACTTAGCCTGTAAAGCGTAACGTCACGCAATTTGGCCATTTTTGAATGAATAAATCAAATGTAATGATACAATGAATCAAATCTCGATATGTAGTAAAGTTAAAAAAAGACTGCTGTTGAAACATGTTCTGCATGTTTCTGTGAATGAGCGCTCAATGTGTGCTCTACTACACTGCGGTGTGACACTTGTCGTGTTTTCAGCGTCTATGGTATATCACAGTATACTCACTACAAAAAACTAGACTTCACCACTGTCTGCAACGGGTAATACATGTATGCTATGTTGTGCAGCAGCAGCATTTCTTACTTGCTCACAGCAGCGTCATGTATGTCTTGCCAGCAAGTCCCATACTTGCTCTGCAGCAGGAATATGCAGGAAGATCTATTCTGCAAAGACCAAACATACAGTATCAACATTGTTATACATTACCATGCCAAACATTCAGAGAGTTGAGTAAAGACCATTTTGTATGTGGAAATTACTCTCTGAATAATATTACCTTGCTTATAAGGTGGTCTATATACTATCCAAACAAAACAACTGCCTTAAGAAGATATATTTGAACTGATTAGAACTGATGAAATGGACAGAGCAAGAAAATATAAGATTTCACAATTTTTATAAATAAGTGGGACATTGATAAGCAGTCTAGACTAAAATCACTTAGCAGTAAAATTATTTAACACTTCACAATTTGATTTAGAAAGTGTTAATGAATTGTTTTCAGTCACAAATTAATGCAAAGCCATGCACGTTCACAGCTTTGCTGGAGCAGAGGGGGGAGGGAGGATGTGTCATGTGATAACGTTAACACATCTATTGGATAGAGAACCTTCCGATCTATGCTCAACTGAAGCAATGATGGCAAAGCACTATGCAAATACAGGCGTCTCATGATCAAGCTTGTGTTAAATCATGCAAATATTTTATATTCGAGATCCGGAGGAACTGAAAAACACAGCATGCTTTAAAATGCAAAAGCATTCCTACAAATCCACACCGTGATGGAAAAAAAGTAAGCCTATATGTTATATGTTTAAGTTGTATTAATTGCTTGTTGGGAATGTAACTTTGGATTCATTAAGAAAACTTCAGAAATAATGTGTTTTAAACACAAAACCAATACAAAACAAGCACCATCAGGGCATCATTTTCTTTCAAATAAAATAATATAAAGTGTTCAGTTTTTTGTTTGTTTAACAAATGCATATTTCATTTTACAGATGATATCTGAAATAAGTAAACCCCACCAGAGGAAGCTCAGCATTTGAGGGCTTATCTTTACTGATAACCATGTTAACTAATTAACTAGGGGCTTTCTTAATCCCATGAGTCAATAAAGAACTCACCCACATGCCTCCATCAAATCAGACAGGTTCCTTAAACCCCCTGTAGGGAAATGATAATTAATCAGCAATAATTAACCCTTTACACATAGACCAGAAAATATATTAAGTTGCCCGAACATTATCGTGAATAATATAGGACAGAGATCAGATTACAGTTACTAGGCCTACATTGAGCTCTGACCTATACAATAATTTAAATATTACAGTTTTTAAAGCATAACTTTACTTACCAACGATTGAAACCACACGATGTGTGTAAAGATAAATAGTCTATTCGACAAACAACCGTAGCCTATTCATATAAAGTAGCCTGTTACACAAATGGTTGTGGATAAAAAGGCATGTGGATATGTTTTACACGACATAAAATAAAACCTAAAACATTTTAATAGCCTAAAGTTCAACAACTAACAGCCTACCGCACCGTTTTCGATATGTAAACAAATGAAACGGTTCGCGAAGAGAATTATGGGAAGACTCCTTTTTCAATAAGCACTTTCAACTTTTTAAAAAAGCCTGAAAAAAAGTATTTAAAAATGTAATAGCCTAGAATTTCCCCTTAAATTATAACAATTCATGTGCTTCTTCTAAACGCTTACAGAAGACAATACATATCCAATATAATTTAAATATTTTACAGTTAACTAATTAACAGATTTTATATTATATTTCTTGTTCCAATAAAATTGTGTTGGCCTACAGTGAATTCCTATTTACAGGCGCTTTATTTGGTCGTCGTTCTGTCATGATGGGTGTATCAGCCATGTTAATGGATCCTCTTTTCACGTATTGTTTAATAGACATTCTTCAAATTTAATTTCAGCAAATCCTTCGATGGCTGACTTCTGGTTTAGAAGGTGACGGCGGTCACCATCGATCGTCGCCGACTCTCATGAATGAAGAGCGCCTGTGAATGGAGCTCGTAGCAGACGTCATCTCCATTGTGACGTTGCGATCCTTTTATGGAGCGATCGTCTGAAGCCCATTCATAAAACGGAAAGAGAACTGCCTCTGGTAGTAAAGCTCTCAGGAGGGTAACACAACATTACACTGCGCACTGGCAACGCTGGATTTGACGTATTATTTTCATTAAACCACAATTTGACCGTGACCAGTCCCCATCGGAGGAGGAAAATGGTCACAATGGACGAACTTAGTGAAATGGATTGCAGCGTTTTGAAGAGGTTGATGAAGGAAGACAGTGCGAAATGTCTTCTTTTGGACTGCAGATCGTTCCTAGCGTTCAGCGCAGGTCACCTTCGCGGTTCCGTAAATATTCGCTGTAACACGATAGTTCGGAGGCGAGCGAAAGGCTCCGTTAGTTTGGACCAGATTCTGTCCGGTGACGACGAAGCGAGAGCCCGTCTAAAATCGGGGCTGTACTCCGCCGTGATCTTGTACGATGAGCGGAGCTCCGATGCAAACAGTATGAGAGAAGACAGCACAATCACCCTCGTACATAACGCTTTGTGTCGAGATACGTATAGGACAGAAGTCTATCTGCTAAAAGGTAAATTGAAATATATATTGTATTTTTTTGATGCAACATGTATTATTTGAAATAAAGCGGCATGCTCTGAAATATCTGTTGTTTAGGCTAGATGTTTTGACTGTGGTTAAATCTAAGCATCATGTCTGCTCTTAAGATAATGATGTAATGCATTCCCTGTTGGAAAATCCAGCTTAAGATAGTAGCTGTTTTACTAAGCTGGTCCAGGCTGGTCATTTGCTGGTTGACCGGCTAACATGTTACAACTTGACCACCTTGAGCTGTTTGACCGTTTAGAAACCACATTCTCACACCATATGGACACCTGTTCATAGTCACAATCCAACTTTTAAATATGCCTCACGTTTTTTTTATTTAATAAAAATATATTCCCTTTTTAGTATGTTAAATTGCGAGGCTTGATAATAATTTAAGGCTGTCTATTTTTATTAAAAATGTTATATGGCTTGCCTGAAAAGAGTGGGCCTAAATTAAAATGTCAAATATGAGTTGTTGTTGTTGTTTTGTTGTTGTTGAGATTAGGCTATCATGGTAAATAAATGTTACAAGTAATCAGTCATTTACTGCATTTTTTTCTATTCTTGAAATGTGAAAATTGTGTTAAGGTGCATCTTAAATGTAGGCTAAGTCCACCCACTGTCTGACCTCAAAACAATAAAATAAAATAAAAATCCCATTCAAATAAATACCAATTTAAGGGCAAATAAAATTCGGTTAGGTAATTCAAGCTGGCCAGGCTAGTCCTGAAACCCCTTTAAACGGCCAGCTAGATATTTAAGATGGATGCATTAACGAGTTGTTGTTTTTTTTCTTCTTCTTCACTTTATAGGAGGCTACGACAGATTTTCCACACAGTATCCCGATTACTGTTTGAAAACCAAAACCCTGCCCGTATCCAGCACTCAGTCCAGTGTGGAGACCAGCTGCACCTTCTGCGCAACTCCCCAGCATGACCAGGTAACTACATTAGCAGCGCTGGATACTTTGAGGTCAGCTAATGGGCATCATTGTGTAACATTAAACGTCCTGTTGACGGCTGTCATCCGCTGCTCTTTCCGGCTGATATAGCAGTACTTTTGAGCGCGTTCGTCCGGCCTTCCTCTGAAACGGGGGTGTACTGTGTCAGACACTCCAGTACGCTTCAGTGTTGATTCCCACATCGATCACTTCCTGTCTCTACAGCTTGTTAAGCAGGCCATCAATGACATAACAGCGGGCCGAATCAATACGAATTTCCCGAATAAATAAACTGGACATTTTTAGAGTGACCTTTTTATTGCAAATAGAGCTGTAAACGACCTGAAGTTGGATCTGTAAATCTGGTTCATCATTTAGCCTATTGAGAAGGGCCTGTCATTTTATGAATAATAAAGACAAATTAATAAACCCAGTTTGATTTTAATTAATAAATGCATTTGTTATTATTAAAATATAAGTTATATTTTGTTAATAAAAGTTGTGTCCCTTTTTTATTACAGGGTGGGCCTGTGGAAATCCTCCCCTTTTTATTTCTTGGCAGTGCTCTCCATGCGTCTAAAAAGGACATGCTAGATCGTATGGGAATTTCTGCTCTATTGAATGTATCTTCAAACTGCCCAAACCATTTTGAAGGGGATTACCAGTACAAGTGTATCCCGGTGGAAGACAACCATAAGGAGGACATCAGCTCTTGGTTCATTGAAGCCATTGAATTTATAGGTATGATTTATTTTTGTAATAAAAAATAATATTTATGTTGTATGTTTGCATGTATGTATTTATGTAAATTGGGTTAGGTGTAAGCGTTCGTACATTAGTCTTGGTCGTTATAGGTCCTTTTAACTGCAAATGACATGCATTTAATCAGCAATTCAAACGTTGATCTGCATTGCAGAGCTTTTGCAACAATTACACCCTCCTTTTGAGGCTAGCACCCATTGCAAAAGCTCAGCTTGGTCATTTATGCATGTAGCATAAAGTAGCTTGAAGAATGTGTTTTGATATATAGATAAACACAATGATGAAAATTAAAGGCCCAAAGGTGCAAAATACGGGAGGAATTCTGCGGTATGGGTGGGTCTTCCTTATAAAAGGGTTTCCGCGACTGAGGGAGGTTGGGGGGGGGGGGGGGATCCTGTATATCCAATTTCAGCTCAGCATCCTCTGCACTAAAGCAAGGCCCACAAGAAGGCTTGCCGCATTTGATCGCACCGTCCTAGGTGTGTGTGTATGTGTGTGTGCTTGTATGTATGCGTCAGAGTGCAGAGCTTAGGGACCAGAGTCTGACTCATCCTCCATTCAGGGGTGCCTCGATACTGGAGTTACCTCAGATCTGGGTGTGTATGGCTGTGCAAAGGCATTTATGCAGACAGTCAAGAGCACACGAAGAAAGACATCTGACTGTTTTGATATCGAGGTTATTTTCTCTTTGTTCCATGCACATGTCATTTTTTTGTTAATTTGCAGCTTATTGCACTCTAAAAAATATTGTTGGTTTAACTTAAAAAAAAATGAAGTAACCTGGTTGCCTTAATTTTTTAAGTTCATTGAAATAGAAAAATTGAGTTAATACAATGGAGATTGATTTAATCACCAGAAACTCAAAATATTATGTTATCTGAACTACATAAATGATTTAAGTTGATTTGACAAAAGAAAAAATGTTGTGATTACGGAGCGGAGGTGTCTGTGTTTATGAGTGTGAATTCTTGAGTGTTTGTTGTCCAACTGTGACTATCAGCTTTGGGTGAACGTGTAATAACCAGTTATACATGTATTTCTAGAATTGGGTGTTTTGAGTGGTAATAATACACACGGATCACTGTGTATATTTTGAAAATATTGTATTTTATGATTTCATTGGTTCATTTTGGATTGAATTGTTCATTTATTTTATTTGTATCTTTTCATAAATTACTGATTGTTTATATTTTATTGATTGGTCGTTGGTACATGTCAATCAGAAACCGTCTTATTTGATTGGATAGGCTTTTTGATTCTAGTGATGCACAGGAGATAATTAAATCCAGTGTTGGTTGAAGAACACTTTACATTCTCACTGAAGGTTAATACAGTGTAATAATAATAATTTGGTTGACCTTTATAGTCAGTCTAGCTTTCACTGTTTAATCATGTTTCAATCACAAATTTCAAATTGTGAGATTGCAGCCTGAACTGAATGTCATGAGACATAAAATGTTGGGTTTGCAAAACCAAAAGTAACCCATGCCATGATCAGCATAGTTTGATTCACAAAACCTTAAGTTGTTTGCGTCGGTTTATTTAATGACTAGCTAGTACAAAGTCAGGCTCTTTTTCGAACCAGTCTTGAATGTTTTTTAATGATGTTTCAAAAAGTTGCGGGCTTCAGCTTCACTGCTTATGCGGTAAGATGACTCATCTGAGCTTTATCTATGCATAACAAAACTCTCTGCTCTTTCCTCAGACTCTGTCAAAGATTCCAACGGCCGTGTTCTGGTCCACTGTCAGGCCGGCATCTCGCGGTCGGCCACTATCTGCCTGGCGTACCTGATGAAGAAGAAGCGGGTGCGCCTGGAAGAGGCCTTCGAGTTCGTGAAACAGCGGCGCAGTATCATCTCCCCCAACTTTAGCTTCATGGGTCAGCTCCTGCAGTTTGAGTCACAGGTCCTGGCCACTTCCTGTTCTGTAGAGGCCGCCAGCCCTTCCGCCACTCTAGGCCCCAAGTCTTCCTCCACACCCACGTCACCCTTCATCTTCAGCTTCCCCGTGTCAGTGGTGACGCACAGCCAGCCCAGCAGCCTCACCTACCTACAGAGTCCCATCACGACATCACCAAGCTGCTGATACACCGCTGGACTCGGATCACCAAGCTGCTGATCAAACTCGCCCTCCTGTCTTTACTGCGCATTAATATCAGAAGAATAAGTCATAATATCCTGTGGGGACGGTTCACTTCCAAAGACTTTTCATTTGCAGGAAGTCCATCGACCCTGACAGGTTGTTCACGTCGCATCTGGACTTCTCATTTTTCACTTCCTCTTTCGGCGGCCTTCCTGAATTCCTTTAATAGAGATCGCCGTGGCATGACCTTTGGCTGGAAGTGTCTTTCATTAAGTTCGTTTAGCATTTGTCAGTGCCTTGTAAGGAGAAGGTACACAAACACTTTTACTCACCTTTCTTTATGACTGATCGCGAGACATTCAAAGCATTTCAACCTGCAATACAGATCCAGTTCCTGTCACAGATCAGAGCAATAACCTGATTCTCCTTCCTCCCAGTCGCCACCAAAGCACTGTATGTCGTGTTTTCCTTTGTTATATTGTTTGATCACAATTTTAAACGTCTGATTTTCTTTGCCAATTTGTACCGAGGAGATCTTATGAATTATTTCTGCTGTATGCCTTACCAACAATGACTGTGGCTATCTTCCGCATGGAATGTTCTCATCAATAGACTATTTAAGGTATGGTGTCGTATGATGCTGGGTTGTACACTGAATCTTTTTACACTGGAAGTTGTGAATGGGATTATTGGGAAGCCATTTTCCTGAGTCAATTTGCTTTTTAATATTCCCCTTTGAGAAGCTCTGTGAGGGGAAACTCAAAGAGTCCATATAGCAGATGGTATGTATATGTGTGTGTTGGGACCTACTTCTTTTTTTATGAGAGTGTGGGCACCTTTTATAGCACTTTTAAGTGATACAAAATTTATTTGAGGTTTGTTTAGCACCTCGCCGGAATTGACGTATTGACATATTACATGGTCTGTTTATCTGTCAATCACTGATGAGATGAATGCAATAATTTTTACCGTGCTTGTGAAATGTTATTGTCTGACGCTCATGGCAATAATCATTCAGAGGGTTAGGATTTTTTTTAACCATCTTCTGTTGTATCATATGTACATTTTATTTATGTCACGATTGTCATTGTTAAATATAAACTGTGTTCTCTAATGAAAGTGTGGCGTGATTTAATTGTATATAGAAGAACAAAATCTGCAGATCTACAGGATCATATTTTGCTCTATAGCAGTTGGCCTGTAAGTAATATTGCAATAATTTTGTAAAATGAATAGAACATGAGCCATCTCATTATTTCTTACATGGACTAAGAAAAGATATAAAAGAATAGAGCGCGCTATTATGCAGGAGAAGTGATTTAGCTTTTATCTGATAAATGAGGGTAGAATTTTAAATAGGTTCAATAGAAGTAATTTTTGGAGTGCCACAGCGCCCTCTAACGTGTGTTCTGTTAGCTGCATTCACGTCATTGTCAATTCTGACTCAATCCTTCCCACAGTTCGCTCGCTAGAAAACAAAACACTGGCGTGTTCCTTGATTACAATTTCCCACTTAACCATCAAATAAACGGTAAAACGTTCAAAGTAAAAAATAATTTTGTATTTGCAATTTTGCTTCAGTGTGTCTCTGATATTTCATTGTGATTAGGTAGACGCTGAAATGTAGGCTATAGCAACAAATCACACAAACATGGACACACAAATATTTTTGAACACATTTAAAGAATCACAATTATCAACATTTTTTAGTAAGCAAGATTTAAAATTATGTTAAGCGTAGCCTAATCGAGCCTACTCTGGGAAACGGTCGAACAGGGATGCCAGCGTTTGACCTTCACGATCTTACCAGTCATTTATAACTGAATTGGTGTTTTTAAACCAGACCGATCCACTAATGAATTATTCTGACAATTTTATGAAGACGTTCAAATGATTAATTGCAAAAACCGACATGACTGAATAATGCACTCAAAAATTGAACAAATGTGCCACAATATGTACTCTAGCCTACACAAAAGCGATTTGGATTGAATATGAGCATATAACTATAACGTGTTAAGTGTAACTTAATAATTTCCATTTTAAAATTACCTGATATTTCCAGATATTCCATTACTTTACATGAATGCTGCTGCACTGTTAGTAGGCCTCTAAATCGTCATGTAGGCCTAATGTTCAGTGGGGTGTGGCTGCCAACTCTCAGGAGACGCATTCAACACTTTAATAATAAAAAAATTTCAACTTTCAGATTCGATTCTGTCAATTTTATCACAAAATTCAAACAAAAAAATACCGTTTAGGCGCTTGTAAATGTGACGTGACAGATCTTTCTAGTCTCAGTTCAAGCTCCACAGAAACCTCTCTTACTTTACTAGCCTACTACTTAAATAAACACGAACAAACAATATCAGTTAACGTTATGTTAAAAAACAAATAGGCCTACAACTTATAGCTATGTCCCCACCACCTTACCACTTCTTAAAACATTTCAAGACACGGATGTACCTATTACAACTAAACTAAAAAATCCAGTTAACTAGCATAAAATTAATTTAGTTCGTTATTAAATAAGAGACTTGAAAATGTGTGGTTTTGAAATCAAGCAGTTGTCGCCGGCCGCTGCAGAGGATCGGATTCACTTTTGTGCTACTTACTCTACCCATGTAGGCTTCTCTAGACAAAAGCGATTTTGTGTAGAGTACAGATTAGAACCACTGATCTACAGTATATGTCATTATAGAGATCAGTGATTAGAATCCATAACCTCTGACACGCTTGGCAAAAGTTCTACCACCGGACCTTTTCGGTACCAAGCAAAATATTCTGAGCTTTGCACCTATTTTTGTGTTAAGCTATAATAAAAACAGTAGCCATTGTCCATGTAAACAATTCTGTTTGGTAAACACATTTCTTGATGCACGTTTTTTTTTACATCCCGCCAATCCAATTGTACTGTAAAATAAAACGTATTTAATAATAAAAATACGACCTAATATTATTTACTACACTATAATTGAATAAGGAAACCGAATAAGGGTTCAGCAAGTGTGAAAAAAGGAGAGCAGGCAGTATTTATGACATGTACTTTATTAAGACATTTTACATGATCGAGTGTTTGATTAATCCGCAGATGGCTTACGGTACAAGTCATTTCTGATAAAATTTCACAGGAAGATGGAAATAAAGTAAAAATACAGCTCAGAGAATTGAGAAATAGTTCAGGAGTTAATCTCCGACATATTGGCTTGAGGGGAGCAGTGGCCATGTCTGTGCTCGTACTACTAAGAGGAGAAGAAAGGTCTGCTCTCTCTCTCTCTCTATCTGGATTGAACACAGAGAGTCCTAGAGTAAGGCAGATGTCCTCTGGTATACAAGTCCAGAACAACAAACTACACCTGAGCAAAGCAACCAAACCATGAGACTTCCAGAGGTAGAACCACGTCCTTCATTTCATTCTGTTAACAATGAATGCTGATATCAGTAGTGTGTAACAGTTAAAATGTTACGGACACCCTCGTAAAAGAGGGCGTTTCTCTGACCTCAGAGAAACAGGACTGGAATGGACAAGATTTAGGAATTCCCGTGGTTGTGATCCAAAACAAGCCAAAAGCAAAAGGAACGACTTCCAAAGCGGAGTCACGCGCTCGTCTGAAAATATTGAAGAAAAGATCTGAAAGCAAAAATTCCCACTTCCTTTACAGTACTACAGTAATAAAACCCACTCTGAATCAGTAAACAACATTAAAAGCTATACAAAGGCATTGTCCATTACACAACCTGTACATTACTGGAATTTTATTTAACCTGTCTTTTTTTTTTTTTTTTTGGAATAACTTAAGTCCTGCTTAAAAGTGCATGTTTTTTTTTTAAAGATTCATTTTCGGATTAAGCTATGACAATGGAATGGGACATTCTGACCAGTATTCCTGTGCAAAGATATGTAAAAAGTGTGTACCAAAAAACAAACACAACAAAAAACAACAACAAAAATTTTGCTATTTTGTGGTCAAAGGCTTTTTGAATAGTTCTGGTCTCTGCATCAACATTCTTTTTGCTTTAAAACCCACCCAAGGCTTTTCTTTAAAACCACAATGCATAAAGTTAAACAAAACACAACAATGAGATTTTCTGGGTCTTTAGTGAACTTCAATAATGGAAAGGAGGATTGCAGAAATGTCAGATCCCCTTGAGACATGGTCTTTTATTGTGAATCATTTTGATGAAATAAAATTGGTAATTAATCACAGTACTTGTAAAACCGTTTCGAAGAAAGTAAGCTAATGCTTGAACAGTGTTGGATTGCGTAAAATGACAGGGAAGAGGTCACTTGTTGTCTTTCATGGAGCAGTTCTTTCACTGAGCCCTGAAGCAACACTGTGGCCGATGTCCAGGACACGGCCAGCCAAGGCAACTCTTTCTTGTAAACACTCACGAGGACAGAAATGGAGCATAACTGCAAATTAAAGAGGCAGTGCAGAGGCTTACGGGTGAGTGAACGCGAGGAGGCGTCTGTGGATGTGTGTGAAGTGTCTGGGTAACAGTCTTAGTGTTTTGCAGGGCCGCTGATCTGGGACCCGCGTAGACTAGGACTTCTGCTCCGCCGCTGCTGGGGAAGGAGGTGTGCTGTCTGGCTTGATGATCTGGTATGTGATGAGGTACTCTGGGTAGGCCTGCAAAAACACAAAAATTTGGAAACAAACTAAATATATCTACTACCTTAAATATTTGTTTGAAATATTTTCAGTTAAATATCTGAGCCCTCTCACCTGTTCTCCTCGGTAGATGACGTATTCGGCGTAGGCTAGCCCGTTGACGCTGGGTCGGCCGATGACGGAATGGTGTCCTGGGGGAGCGTGGGCCATCTTCATGGCACTGAATTGCAAGAAGGATTTACCCAAAGTCACCCGGCAAAACAGCATCTGCCTGCAAACAGCACAATTATATTTGCAATAAATAAAACTATAACATTATGGTTTAATGAAATAATAATCATTTTAGAAATGATAAATATTACGGTATAATTCATCATATGATAATTAAATAATTAAAAATAAAAATAAAGCATTTGAAAACAAATTTAATATAATATAATTATTTTAAAAAATATATAAATAATTGTATCATTTGTTATATATACAGAGTTATATTTATACATTACAATATAATTTACAAAATACTATAATAATTTATACATACACTAAACATTATTATTTTAACATTTATTATTAAAACATAAAATTTATTATTTTACAATTTATATTAAAATAATATATACATCAAAGCTTTATATATATATATGCACACAAACTTTGGAAACCTTTGAGCTTTCTGCACACTGAATAAGACATGTATCAAAGGTTATGTGTAAACAAATCATTACATAATACCCTACATCCATGGACAGTTTTAGATTAATTAATTTTAGTAATTAGAATTTTAATCATTATTCATGATTGTAATTATATGCAGTGTCTGATTTTCTTTACACTTTTGTACTAAACCTGTTGAGAAGTACTGGATTATAGGTTAGACAGCACCATCAGCTGGTCATTTAGGGTAAGTACTATCCTGTTTTATTATTGATAAGCAACAATTCATATTGAGAGCTAATCCAGGATCTTTTGCAACAAACATCCATATTCTGTAAAACAGGTTGCATCGCTTCCAGTTCAGGTCTTTTGTCAGACTGATCTCACGCAATGGTGTATGTATGACACGCCAATTCGTATTTCCATTTTTGGCGTGCTATCAACACGCATAATCGCTTTTCATGAACGCCGTTGACTTAACGTTACATTACTGTATATATAAATATATGACCTGACCTAAACTTACCCGTCACTGGGGTTAATACCATTTATGAGTCTTCCCCTACCATCCTAGGAAAAGATATATCGCTCCCCAGATGTTGCTTCGTTTCGCTCCGACATTTAGCGACGTGTACATACACGCGGAATCACTCGGACATTTAACTACACGCATACATACACGCGGATAGCTCAAAATGCGTATAGATAACACGCCACTTGACTTGAAAGTGGCGTGTATGTTTACGCAAAAATCATGATGTCATATTGCTTTTGTAAGTGCCTTGTTAAATATAGAGCAGTTTTATTCAAGATACCTTCAAACGAGCCATCAAAAATGAACATGACCGACGACCATCACATATACAGATTAATTTCTAAGAGAATAAAATAAAATGGCAATGATAAAAAGATCTAGCTAGGTTAGTTGATCACCTTAAAAGCCCATGGATATCGTCATCAGACTCAAAAAAGGGGAAGAATCACATGTGTGTGTACCTGTGACAGATGTAACAGGAGCGGTCTTTATGTGTGGGGCAGCCCGTTCCCCCTCCGATGCCATACACATACTGGTTGCTTTTCGAGGAGTTCTCTGCGAAGTAGATCCCTGCCCCAAACATCCCCCCTATGTAGGCGTGCCTCTCATCAAACCCTTTATGGATGATAGCGTTGATGAATGGTGACCCTTGTAGTTGAAGAAAAATGAAGTTGATTATTCTAATGTAAAACTGGAACACTGAGATAACACTGTTTGAAAGAAGCGTTTGAGTCTCATATGGGGAAAAAAGGTTCTTTTGTAGCTTGAACTTTCCCAAATAGCACTTATGACAGGTCATTCATCTCGTGACCAAGAGCAGGAGCAGTACCGTGAAAGAGCATGCGCTCGTTGTGGTGGTTGTGGTTCTCGTCTGCGATCTCCTTCTGCCTGTGTGAGTATCGCTCCCTCAGCTTCTTGTTCACCACCTTCTGAATCTGCACAAACAAAGTTGACATTGTTGCTTAGATGTTCATCAAACATTTGAAACATAAAGTAACTAATCAAACGCGTCTAGAACAAATAGAAAAGAAAGCAGAAATATGCACTCACCTTCAGAATGTTGTACCTGCTGAAAACACCCCCCGCATTGCCACCATCCCTGTGCTCTCTGATCGTACTTTGCAGCTGTTAACGAAAACATAATTATTTTTGTACATGCTGTGTTAAATAAAAACAACTACACAAGACCATGCAGCCCTTCAATAGGGTAAAATAAATGTTATATATGAGAGCTAACTAACTTAGCTTAAGTAATGAAGTAATGTGTGAGAAGATCAGAAATCTCCCACCTTTCCTGGAGAACTGTTTATATTTGTAATATTTATCAGATCGTAGTCGATCTGATATTTATGTAACTTAAAGGAGAACTCCGGCGAACAATGAAACTTTGGTCTAATAAAACATCGGTACCTAGTCAATCGTTCTCTGAGATTTGTTTTCATGATAATCGAATGTAAAGAGTTGTATCTCTAAAAACTGTTTAGCGTATAATGCTAGTAATGGGGGCATTGACTAAGTAAAAAGAAATCGCTAGTTTATACCAATAACAAGGCTCAAAATAGCCCCACACTAACGCAGTAACATAATGAGGCTCCACACATGCAAAACGAAGCATTGAGAACTTTGTAAGTGTACAGACCGTTTAATAAGAAGATACTTTATGAAGACAGTTCACTTCGTGTATACAGACAGGAGCCATCGATAAGTCAAACCACGAACGTCGTGCTGAGTGATCTGAACTGTATGAAGTTCAGCGAACTTCTGACGGCGTTCGGGGATCGACTTATCGAGACTATTTTTTTAAGATGGCTCCTGTCTGTATACGCGAAGTGAACTGTCTTCATAAAGTATCTTCTTATTAAACGGTCTGTACACTTACAAAGTTCTCAATGCTTCGTTTTGCATGTGTGGAGCCTCATTATGTTACTGCGTTAGTGTGGGGCTATTTTGAGCCTTGTTATTGGTATAAACTAGCGATTTCTTTTTACTTAGTCAATGCCCCCATTACTAGCATTATACGCTAAACAGTTTTTAGAGATAAAACTCTTTACATTCGATTATCATGAAAACAAAACTCAGAGAACGATTGACTAGGTACCGATGTTTTATTAGACCGAAGGTTCATTGTACGTCGGAGTTCTCCTTTAAGACTAAATAATAGCTCACACATTAAAAAATAAAAATAACAAGACCACAAATGAGTTATACTATAAACACATTGTAATTTAATACACTATAACTATAAAATTAATAAAATAAAATACACTAAAATAAAAAATAAAACTAGTGAAAAAAAAAAAATCACACAAAAGAAGAATAAAATAAGATTACAATAGGTTATGACTTAAAAATATACTCATCGCACACTAAAATAATAAAAAATACAAGCAAGTTATATAAGACTATATTTTTAAGTAATTTTGATAAAATAAGAACATAAATAGGTTTTATAAGACAAGTTGCAACTTAATGCATACTAACAAACCATATTCAAGTCAAGTCAAATATATTTATATAGCGCTTTTCACAATACAGATTGTATCAAAGCTGCTTCACAGTATCAATCAAGACAACTTAACAGTGTTTGTTGATTCATGAAAAAAAAGACAACCAAGTTTGGTAGAGCTGATCAATGGTTTGATGGGTAATTTAATTGGAATATCCCCAACTTAGCAAGCCTAGCCAAAGACAACAGTGGCAAGGAACCGAAAAACTCCATCAAGTGACCCGATGGTGTCCTAAAACTCCATCAGATGACCCAATGGAGAAAAAAAAAACCTTGGGAGAACCCAGGCTCCGTCGGGGGCCAGTTCTCCTCTGGAATCATATTCATCATAAAAAAAATAAAATAAAAAAAAAACCCTGTATGATCAAGGAACATCTTTAGTTTAGTTAATTTAGTTGTTGAAGTTTGTTAATGCATGTCTAAATGCATATCACCACAAAATAAATTAAAAAATAAAATAAATAAAATCAGCATAATCAGCATCTAGTACAAGAACTATCCATTTTTTATCTGGAATTTTACATTTTTTGGAAGGAAAAGGCTCCTAGATCTGCTGTGCACGCTCACCTCCTCCTCCACTGACTGAAACTCTTTATCATCAGGTGCCAGGTCGATCAGAACCGTGCCTTGACTCGCACAGTGGAATGTCAGGTATGGGTTGGCACCTGTTATGAAAGCGCACCAACACACAAAACTATAAGTTACCTCAGTGCGTCGTGGTTTGCTTAGTCATGAACAGCTGGTGTTTAAGAGAGAATCTGGAGCTAAACGCTTCTGAACTGACCTTGTTGACCGCCCAGCAGCCTCTCAATGCCTTTGATGAGTTTGTGTCTGTGCCCGTATGCGTTGATCCCGATCTCCTTGAGCTCCTCGTGCCCCATGTCAGCCAGCACATCGAGCGAAATCTAATACAACAAGTGAACACCAATCAGAACAAGGGAAACTAAAGTAGTCTGCAGGCACAACCAATCACATGAAGTTGCAATTAAGAATGGCATGAAGCGTCTCACTTCAAGTCCAATTTCGACTGCGTCAAAAACAGCCAACAGTGCAATTTTTCATTTTCTCAGCGTTGGTATGTGAATCTTCCTCCTACTGAGATGATAAACTCTTAGAGCGGCAGGGGTTTGGATGGATATTATCGCATGTGACTCATAACACACAGAAGGATTATTGCTGAATATGCCTCCTACACGGAACAAGCAGACGAAAGCAAACACGCAGACAGCGATTAGCATGCTAGACAGAGGCAGGGAGCCATTGAGCCAGCGTGTGTCTTACAGAGAGCATTACGGTTTAATCATACTGGACTAGGCATATGAACTTATTTCGGCCAATCTGATATATATTTTGAGCAAAAAAATCATACTTATAACTTTTGAACAGCATTGTATGAATGGATGCGAATGAACCGGCATCACCTTTGACTCAGCCTATGTAATCTCAAAGTCTTACACTCTCAATTCCAATGGCCAACTTATTGGCAATGCATCACATCTATGATAGCTCTGTCAAAGGTCATTAGCCCAGGAGCTGCCAACTACTCTCTCTCAGGCAGCACTGTGCACTTCAATCGATAGGACTCGCAGGACTGGCCATTATAGCAGTGAAGGTGTGATGGCCACAGCTGGAAAGATTCCATTTCTCCTCTATCTCTCTCTTTAATTCTTTTGGCAAAGTTTTCATTTGTGCCAAAGCTGAAAAAGAACTGCAGATTTACTACAGTCTAGTGTATATATATATATATATATTAGGGGTGGAACGGTACATGTATTCGTATTGAACCGAAACGGTACGGGCGTCAAGGTTCCGTTCATGCATTTACACGGAGAATACACGATAAAAAAAAAAATCGAATTACTCAAATGTAGTAATACACAGGTGGTACAGCCTGATACTTGCACAATAAAAAAAATGCCTTCTGGATTTTTGTTTTGCTTTTCCCTCCATTGCATCGAACTCATACCGAACTGTGATGTCTGAACCAAGGTATGAACCGAACCATGACTTCTGTGTACCGTTACACCCCTGATATAGATATACACAACCATAGATATGTATATAAAAACTAGATGTGTTACGGCGGAGTTTCCATCGTCATCACCGGCGGCCATCTTGTCACAGACAAGCTGATGTAAGATGAATGGTCAGCACGAACCCAAATACTCTTATCTCGTTGAAATCTTGACGGATTTACAAACGGTTTGGTTTCTTCCAAACGTTATTAACGTGGCTATAATTATCTGGATGATTATTTATTTATACACTTTTTATTCATAAGTATGCAGGGTCATAACTACATCTCTGACGTTTACAACAAATCAAACCGTTTGAAAATCGGTAGAAAATTGAGCAAGTTATAGTCATTTAAATAGTACATGTACCATTAACACAATGTTACGAGTGAGCGAGCTACCTGTGACAAGATGGCCGCCAGGTGCAGACATCGACCTCCATTGGCCAGCAGCGTGGACGACATATCTAGCCTTTATGTACATATCTATGTACACAACAGCTGATAAACGACAAAAACATTGATAGCCAATCAAAAAGTTTCCTGATTATTATTTTTTAAAGAACTTTATCGTGCTTGGGTGTTAAAACGAATACATTTACAGTTACAGTTATCCTTGTTGGTGTTAGTAGACATGTTATGAAACGAGTTATGATAATTTCAATAGTTATGAAAATGACGTGATATAGGTCTTGTTTTCATCCATGTTAAGGTCTACTCTGATAAAGGTCTATGGTTTTTAACCTGGTTTTGTTTCGCTCCCTGATTGGATGAGTTTATTAGGTGGCGTTTACATTAGACAAATTCTTGCGTTAAGCAAGAACAGCAAAGTTCATGGTGGGATGCTCAAAAAATGTCCACTTGAATGTGTGTGGCATTAACAGTGGTGCTTTTAAACAGACACAGCTGTCCAAATTGGTTTTTACCATGCAAACTAATAATTGAAAAGGAAAATATCAAAAGTAAAACATTAGAACATAAGAATGAACTAGACAACCTCACTAATTAATTTATCAACTGGTCAACCAGCATGACGCATCTCTATTCAAAGGGAAGTGGAAATGCAGCAGACAAACAGAAGACATCTAAAAAGGACAAATATTTGCATGATGCCCTTCTGACAGCTCTATTAAAGTAAGGGGAAGGCTCTAAACTGTGAGGCTTAAATCAGCGTGTCCTCAATCTCATTTGCACTCATGTCTGTCGCAGCGTCTCTGCAAAACTGTTGCCTCTTCATGCTCCATCTCCCATAAGCACAGCGAGGCAGAAGAAGACGGAGAGCGAGCAGACGAGTGAGTCACTGTGAGACAGATGAATGCGTCTTACTAAAGCCACAATCAGAACTGATTTCAGCCCCTCACATCAAGCGCGCTTCCCAGCTGGTGGCCGCCAAGACCATTTCTGTTCATCTATGTGCAAATGAGTGGCGGGTCTGGCACAGCGTGCCAATCGCGTCCCACGGCTCACCCTCACTGTGTCGAAGGCGAGAAGAAAAGCCAGAGGAACAACAGTCCTGAGCTCAGTGTGAGGGGGCGGCACAACTGTATTAATCAAAAGAAGAGGCGTAGAGGTCAGACCCATCACCCAGCATCTCTCTCACAACTATAAAGATCAGGAGACGCTAGTAATCTCACAGCTTCCCGCTGAAGAGGAGATGACTGGAAATTCTAAAGCCAAGGTGCTGAGAGAGAGTATATTGAAAGGAGATAATTACGAGGCAACAGATGTCATCGCATTTACTTTGACGAGCAGGTCCTAGGGTCCTCTACATGGGACATCTGGCAATTTAATGTGTGGAGTGGAACTGATGAGATTGAGATGACTGAAATTGATTTGATCCTAGGAAGTGACCTTACCTGTTCCCGCTCAAAAATATCCCGTAAATGCTCCAAACACAAACTCTTCAGGAACTGATTGATGTTCATATCCAGAATTGTAACTAGAGAGAAAAACAAAAACATCATATCTCATAAAACTATAATCAAACATGTAGGGCTTATCTATCTATCTATCTATCCATCCATCCATCCATCCATCCATCCATCCATTTCATGATAGGTATGCGATAAATCCCTATTAAAAAATTTGGTTGCACTTATATAAAGCAGTACTTTCTTAAGTAAGTACATACATCTGACTGTAAGTACATATAAGTGCCCTTTTTGCAAAATAAAATTGATCTTGACACCCCTAATTGTTACAGCTACTGGCAGGTTTGTGAAAAATACACATTGCACATAAAATTGAAACCGGTATACCTGATGAACTGGTATATTGCACAGCACTGGTATGTAGTATTATATACTACTCCACCATGTATTATTATTATTAACAAACATTTCACAACCCATTTTAATATGTTTAACTGCTAACAGGTAGAAAGTTCTGCCGAGATAATCATACTTAATATAATGTAACTCTAAGAGACTCAGAAGAGAGGTTTTTAATCCCATTACAGTTCTTGTTCTTATCAAATATTATAACTTTTATTTGCATTTCAACTTATATATAGAATCATTTCTCAAAAACAGTTTATTTAAAACTCCATTTTTTATATCCAACAACAAATGTTTTATTTAATTTGATCAAAAATGGATTAGTTGCAGACCTACGTCAAATAAAATAAAAAGTTACATCACATGATCTACTTACTTTCTCCCTCCTTCCTCTCTGATCCAGTAGCCCCATCAGCAGGGCCTGAGGCTCCAGGTACAGCCAGCTCTGCCAGGGGCCCGGCCAGATTGTCTATGCTGCTGGCGGCGGACAGGCAGGAAGGTGTGGAAGCTGGAGAGATGACAGAAGCACTGACCACCGTAGCCTGAGGCTTGAAACAACTAGGCAGCGCTTCAGGGGGCATGGCATCAACCAGCAGCGCCCGGATATCATCAGCCTGGAGATCAGCAGGAAAAAAAAGTCAACATTAATTACCATTAGAAATTGTGTCTGATCAGTTTTAAATGCAACTAAAGTCAACTAATATTCACGTTAAAGTAGCATGCCACATGGGCGAGGGGATAAATTAGACAGTAGTTGTAACAGAGCATTAGTTTGGCTTCTTGGTCTAGAATTGGACAATAAAAGATGAGAACAGCTGTGTCATTAGCAGCTGGCATGAGCACAGCCACAAGAGCCCAATTAGTAAAGGTTACGGTAGATTTACCATTTGCTTCGCACAAGCCTGAACACAGGGGATATGGGTTTAAATACCTCTGCTTATATGTTTAGAAGATAAATGTCTCAGGTTAGTCTATGCCACCTGAACCATATGAGATCTCACAACCAGAATAAATAGTCCTACAGAGCATGAAACTTTTATAGAAGTTGGGTTTAAACTGGTCTAAGTCTTGAAATGCAAATCTGTAGCTCTGTTAAATGAATGGCAATATATAAATATGTGCTTTGATGTCCATGTGAAAGGTCTCTTCTAAAGGCATTACCGTCGCTAAGTCCAGCGGCGTCTGTCCCTCCTGGTTCTTCATGGTGGGGTCGGCCCCATGAGCCAGCAAGAGAGCGCAGAGCTGCGTACGGCCCTTCTGTGCAGCCTCGTGGAGGGGCGTGAAGGCCCATTTATCAGTGGCATTTACACAGGTGTTGAATTTGATCAGCAAGGCTGCGATATCCACATGCTGGAAGGGAATGCAGAGGCTTTTTAACAAAATATATGTACAATATACAATCTATAAAGCCTTTATGTTTATTTTTTTTAACCACTTAACTGTCACCGTCCCACAGGTGGGACGTTTGCCACTATATTTTTAAAACAATAATATCTTAGTAAATACCTTAAATAATATTGACAAACTATATATCATTTGAAAGCTTACAATCTCTAGTTTCCATATTTGGTGACTGATTTTCAAAATATATTACAGAGGAGCCATAATTTATCAATATAAAACAAGAATATTTTCATACTCATAAGGCGTGTTCAGACCTTTATTTTAAAATAGCAGTAAACATGAAAAATCATGAAAAAATGGTAGAAACCTCAGTTTGTTTTCATGCCAAAAGTTCAAAAGATAGAATCCATTCAATTATTTTGGAAAAAAAAAGGTCTGAAAAGTTTGAAATATCAAGAAAAAAATAATAAATTCACCATTTGTGACGTGGCAGCTAGCTATGACTTACATGCGTGTTCTTTGTATATGTGTTTCTTAGCGGTTCAATTCATATCAAAATCTGCCAAACTTCCCATGCTACTTCTGAATAGTATCTCTACTTCAGAAATGTATGAAAATTGTGAAAATAATGGTTCATATCACTCAAAACATGAATGGAAATGCAGACGCCCTTATATGGGCAGTAATGGAGTCTGATTGTGCCCTAGTGAAAAAGTTTGGTACTGCGCTCAAACTAAATCTTACTGAAAGCTCATTTTTTGAGATATCAACCTAAAATTTGAAACACAACTTGTTCAGATTTTTGGCTTTGATTTTTCTGCCATTTTAGAGTAGCCCAGGTTTTGAAAATATATATTTTATGTAAAATATGAATAATTAATATTTTTGCATTGTACATTTCCATAAACTCAAACCTCTATAACTTTTTTTCTGTTTCACTTTCTTAATTTATTTCACTTTTACAAAAATCTGCCAAATGTCTACTTTAAAACAAGACCAATCACATGTCTATATTCCAAAGCATTCTTGAATTACAACCATTTAAGTTCGAAATGTGCATTTTCATGTCTATTCAAAAAAGGGGGGGTGACAGTTAACAGGTTAAAATGAAGCATAGAAGATATTCTATAGAAGATCTGCTTTGGTGTAAAAGTTTGCCTGGTTTTATACTTCATATACTGGATTGTCACCAAATTTATTTTTAAAGTGGTCCATACCACTCTTCTAAAGCTTTGTGTAAACAACAAACCAAAATATAAACTGTCATTGATTTAAAATATAGACATCCTCCCAAGCTCTACTTGGCAAGTGAATGAGAAAAGTTGCAACAGTATGTTCCATTTGTGAATCAAATTACTCTTTTGAGTGAATCAATTGTTTCAAAACAATCATATGATTTACTCAAAATAATCAAAGAATCCTTTTTAGATAATTATTAATCAGATGATAAAATCAGCTTAAGGGATCGAAACTTGACGGCCCAGAAAGTCATTGAAGAAAATGTTTAAATATTCCATGTGACTACAGTGGCTCAACTATAAGTTTATCAAGCGACGAGAATACTTTTTGTTCAGATGGAATATTTAAACATTATCTTCAATGACTTTCTGGGCTGTCAAATTTCAATCCCTTAGGGTGCCTATGTGGTAGTGATACAGCTCTCAAATTTAATCAAAAATATCTTCATTTGTGTTCCAAAGATGAACGAAGGTCTTACAGGGTTGGTACAGCATGGGAGCGAGTAATTAATGACTTAATTTTCATTTTTGGGTGAACTAACCCTTTAAGATCGAACAGACATATCATGTCTGAGACAGCAGAGAATAGCCAGAGTAAGCCAAGAGTGTGTTACAAAGCCACCGTTTCTGTACCACAGTCCATTATAAACCACATCATGAATAACGTTTACAAAGCCATAGTCAGGTGAGGATCAAGGGTCTTAATTTATAATATAATTATAGTAATAAGCTGATTGTCTCATAAACGTAACCACCACATTTCTCCCCACATATCAAACCCATAATACAGCGAGGGAGACGAACCACATGAAAATATGCAACTATATATTGTTTTCTAACAGGGTAGTCAAAGTTTAGCTGGCTAAATATGAGCTGTTACTGTGGCTGAGCTGGTTAAAGCGCAAAGCCTTGTTTAAACTTGACGTGTCCGTATGATCCCAAAGGTGCGCGAGGCAAAAATGACATGATTGTAACAGCGCGCGCGACTCCGCAACCCCTTCGACAACATTTACTGCAAAAAATAGGCTTTTTTTCTCTGATTTTGAAAACTCTTCGCAATCAACTTTAAATGCCTCCAAGATCGACTTGTTAATCGACCTTTTAATTGGCATATGAGAAACATTCTCACTACCAATGGAAAGCACAGAACAAAACAAGCTTGGGTTTTGGCCAACTCAAGAGTTGTGGTGTGCATTGTGTGTGGCTGAGCTTGTCCTGAGCCGCCCTCCCATCAGCAGCAGTGGACTGTATTAAAAACTGCGATCAGCTGCCTGTGTTTGCCGATCGCTGACAGCCTCTACACAAACAGGCTGCATATGAACAGAGGGAGGGACACTCAAGGTCAGCCAGCATCGGCCGGCCGCCAGCTCTCCTCTAGCCAATCAGAAAAACTTGGGCCACCTGCTACTCCGGCTACAGCCAATCAGAATCTCCGTGCACACAGCGGTCCCGTTTCTTGGACAGCAGCGTATACGAGTGTTGTCGAGGGCCGGAGTAAGGCTAGTTCTGATCCAGCATGTTTATGTAACCGCAATCTGCTCCCATCCATCTACATGGTTTAATCACATCCCTGTATACCTCCACAGGGCAGACGCTGATAAATACCTCCAACTACCATCACCTTAAATGAGTTTCTCTGAAATCGCTTGATTAGATTTCCAGAAATCCTGTATTAGAAGAGTTCTGTGCACTGCGGATTAAGGCTAGCAAATGGCATCATCTCGGCATCTGGGTTGTTCCCCAAGTGGAAATGCGACTAAAACCACCTGAAAGAATCAGGATCCGCAGTGATTCATTAAAAGTGCATAAGCCAAGGTTCTTTTGGCAGAGCAAACACAGATGTCCAAACACTTTTTGCATACAGCCACACACTGATTTTCTCAGTCACAGGAAATGAAAACAAAGTGCTGTATAAGAGCACAGAGGGGTTCAGGTGAGGCTTTGCCCTTGTTCTGAGAGGGGAAAAGCCCTTGTGTTTAGTTTTCAGGAGCACATACATGGATTATTCAGCATCTACATCTGTTTGTGTGTATCTGAGGTACCCACAGCACAGTTTCCTGCCAGACCTGGCATGACCGGAGGCACGACATGCGTCGGCTTAACAGATGGCTGTATGTAGTCCCAGTCTCACTGAAAATACTCCTCTTTTTAATCAGCAATTGCACTCACCCCATACGAGGCTGCGTTGTGGAGGGGGATAAGGCCACCTTTGTCCTGCGCGTTGACATCCGCCCCATGCTCAAGTAAATACTCCGCTACCTCCAGATTGTTATAGCCAGCTGTGTAGAAAAAGACGCAAAGAAATGTAAATCCATCTGCCCATGAACCATCTGTTATCATCAAACTCAGTCACCAATCCATATCAAATGCATGTTTCAAAGTGTTTTTAAACTTTGAGACTTGAAAAAAATGTTTTCCACTGTGTTTTTATATTGAGTACGTCCTTTAATAATGGCCATAAATTATAAAGTGGTTAAGAGGAGTGTGCCATTGAGAATTATTACAAACCCAAACACCGTGAAATCAAATTTACATGAGGATGAAGATCACATTAAGATCTAAATGAGAATTAATCTACATGGACCCAAACCCTAAATTGTAGCTAAAAACTGCTTAAATCATCTGTTTTCAGTTAGATTTACTGACTTGAAAGTCACTGCGTGTGGAACATGCTTTAAGCCCACCAGGCATGTTTTTTCAAACTAATAGTTAAGTAGTTTGCACTAGTATTTTTTGTTTCTTCATAATAACCTGCTTTTTACTCTGTGGGTGAAAAGGTTTTTAATGCATTATCAACACATTTGTGTATCACATCAGTGGTAAAAATTGTTCAGAAACTTAACTTCACAAGGCTGTTTATATCACATATCACAATGTAATGTGATTGTTATTGATGATGAAAACTAACCTTATAAAAAACTTATATTTATACTTCTATAATTATAAACATATATCTATATTATAAAACATCTTCATTAATTGAATTAAAACTAAAAAAAAAAAAAAAAATGAAATTTTGCCTTAGCAACTAACTGAAATATTTTAAGTACTAAAGCTAAATAGAAATATAAAATAAATAAAAATGACAAACGCACAAAATTACTAAAACTTGAATAAAAAAAATTACGAAAACTAAAATGGAAATATAAAAATATAAGCTAATTCAAAATATTAATGAATATTATAATAGTATACAAGTACTAAATATAAAAATTTTATATTAAAAAATAAAAATGACAAAAGCACAAAACAAAATGACTAAAACTAAAAATAAAAATGTAAAATAGGTAATTCATAGTTGTTCCCCTCCTCAGACTTTTAGCCAATTTATTAATGGTTCCCAAATTCAAATGTTTGTCTTGGGTGATGATATCTCATTGCCACGGCCTCTACATTGGTCTATAGGAATTCCACCATCCCACCATCACCAACTCAGTGAAATTTCATCTATTCCCATATTCAAAACTCAATTAAACTCAACTAATTAAACTCTCTTTAGGCAGTGTTATTGGAATCTTTATTAACTGACTCTTTCTGATAGCAATTATATTTATTAGTCAGTGTAAAGTGGAAGCAAAGCGGAGATTAGTGGACCCTATCTTGCACCCGGCGCAAATGACTTTGTACAATGATGCATATATCATTCCTATTTTCCACCCGCGCAAATCAACCTTTGGCATTGAACAAGTTGATGCTGACCAAAAAGAACCAGATGCTACTATTTTCAGCTTTAACTGTCTTCCTTTTCCCTCTCACTCTTGCTCCAGACATACACAACTGGCTACAGGACAGTTCTAATAATCCACAAACCCATATTTGAGACAAACTCACACATACACACTCCACCACGTGTGCTGTGTTCATCAAACGCTTCTTGAAGATTCTCCCAAAGCTACAGGCATTTTTAGCAGTTTCTCACTTCCTCCCCTTGAATATGTCATCTATTTGGCTGTACCGCTCTCTCTTCCTCTTATCTTCAATAACGCAGATTTATTCTCATTAACACCATGATAAACATTAGGATTACAGTGAGTAAAAAAACTAGTGTGGATACGGTGTCTGTCAACATGTTGTAATGAAGTCGTGAAAAAGTCAGCAGTCATTTTCCATATATAAGAGAAAGTGTAAACCGGATCAGTAAAATGAGCTAGTGAGCAATATATGTTTCATACTTTTAAGGAAAAATAAAATGCCATATTTTTATATATTACAGTAATACTACCGGTACAAAAAAGAAACTAAATTTAAGTTATCCATAAAATTGTCATTCCTTCACAAAAAAAAAAAAAGACTAATTACAAATAAAATCACATTAAAACAAATACATTTGATTGATGGGTGGACATCGCTAAATATTTAGCCTCTAGCTTTCATCTCAGGCCCCCTAAAACAGCCATAAAATGACCAATTGTTAAAAAACTGCAAGACAAAGCAACAAGATGTTCATGCACGAGATCCATCTAGCCAGAAAGAATAGATCCATCTTACGATTCTCCCCACAGGCAAACGGCAGTCTAGTGGCATGTTCTCTAGGTAAGGGTCACAACCATCACATAAGTCACAGCCCATTGCACCCGTGGAAATAGGGAATGTGTGCTAGCTAGAGTAAAATGATGTGTCTGTATCTCTGCCTGATGCTTAGGGCCGTAACCCACCTGCTGCTGGCCTGGCTTAGCAAGATAAGTGGACTGACCAGAGCGCTCACTGCATCTGTTCAGTGACATTTGCTGATCTGTGCTGTTCTGCACACAGTGCGAGTCCTGCTATGAGTCACTGGCATGGCTGCAGATTTCTGCAAATGATGATCCTGAGCAGTGCTCTCCTACCCTAAACTCAGATCTGTTGTGGGTCAAGCTTTTCAGTCTGTACAAGTGTAGCAGGACTGTTTTCTCACACATGATCATTTCCACTATTATTTTTATTATTAATATTTTTTAAGTTATGAACTGAATTATAACTGTATAATTGATTATACATAAGTAAATTGCCACAATTGTGTGTGTGTGTGTGTGTGTGTGTGTATATATATATATATATATATATGTGTGTGTGTGTGTGTGTGTGTGTGTGTATATATATATATATATATATATATTAGGGCTGTGCAAAGGTTAATTGCGATTAATCGCATCCAAAATAAAAGTCTGTGTTTACATAGTATATTTGTGTGTGCTGTATATAATTATTTTGTATATATAAATACACACACATGCATGTATATATTTATTTATATTTATTTTCGGGGCGGCAGTGGCTCAGTGGTTCATGTGGGTTGTCTACGAACCGAAAGGTTGGTGGTTCAATCCTCGGTTCCACCTGACCAAGTGTCGAGGTGTCCATGAGCAAGACACCTAACCCCAGCTGCTCCCGACGAGCTGGATGGCGCCTTGCATGGCTGACACCGCCGTCGGTGTGTGAATGTGTGTGTGAATGGGTGAATGTGAGGCAATATGTAAAGCGCTTTGGTGGCCATTAGGTCTATGAAGGCGCTATATAAATGCAGTCCATTTACCATTTACCATATATTTAAGAAAATGTGTTATTCCTATATAAAATATTTATATTTATATAATATAGATTATGTATTTATATATATATATATATATATACAGAATTTAAGCACAAATAATTCTTAAATATATACATGCATGCATAGGTATTTATATATACAAAATAATTCTGCACACTCAAATATATTATGTAAAACAGACTTTTATTTTGGATGCGATTAATCGCAATTAACTTTTGCACAGCCCTAATATATATATATATGTGTGTGTGTGTGTGTGTGTGTGTGTGTGTGTGTATATATATATATATATATATATATGTGTGTGTGTATATATATATATATATATATATATATATATGTGTATACATACACACACACACACACACACACACACACATATATAAACACACACATATGCTGGTAATTTTTTTTTTCCAGGGACATTTTACCAATTCCAAACCACACAAATCTTAATAAATACTTTTCATATGTTTTCAAGTGATAAATATATATATATATATATTTTTTTTACAGCCAAAAAAAAAAAGAGATTCAACTCGGACTGAAAAGTCAAAAATTATTAAATGCCCATGGAAAGGAGGCAACACTAGAAATTTCCCATTGGACAGTGAAATGCTCACTGGGTGAGCAGGGTCAGACAAATACAGGCTTATTTTATCTGTAAAACAAAATATGCTAAATAGTTATGCACACCTGAATATAAGGTGTTTTCATTTCCAGCCTTCATAAACAATTATAAATCCATTATACATGATTAAATACAAAATCAACAGTAGTTATGATTAATGTAGTTTGGAAATGGTAAAATGTGCCTGAAATTTTTTTTTTTTATATATGATCAGAAAGTCGACGTGCCTAATAATTCTGCACGCACTGTATATATAAGGAAGGCTCACATAAAGAGATTATTCTGAATAACACTTTATCAGGGACACAAGCCATACAGAGAATATTGTTGTGCATGTTAATGTCAGTGACGGTACGAACAGTGTGGAAGTCTTAGACAGATTTAATATTTGGCAAGGAAGCTTTTGAATCCCCGCCTGGAAGCCAGGCTTACACATTGCTCAGAAAGGGATGAGAGACAAGATTTAATTCAACATGTCCCCATTTTCTTTCCTTCTGGGTTTCCCTGCCTCGCCCCTGGGGTGGGATGATATATCTCACACACTGCTTCAAAGCTTTTGTAGAGACGCAATTCTCCGGATGGTGGTACCACCAGAAAGAGAGAAGTGTTCTCGTTTCTGTGTTGAAAGCGACGGCTGTGAAGGAATCAGAATGATTTTTTATTACCTGCCAGGTGCAGCGGAGTCGAGTTGCGTCCCTGTGTGTCTCTGCAGTTGATGTTCTCCAAGCTGCACAGTTTCTGGACCCGGGCCAGGCAGCCTTTCTTGGCGGCATCCAAAAGCGCTGCATCTCCTCTAAGCAAGTCCTGGATATCCGTGTCTCCTTCCTTCACCATGTCCAATGGAGTGTTTCCATCCCGATTCTTCTTGGTGGGGTCTGCTCCATGCTGAAGGAGATAAGGACATTGAGTACAAATTCACACAGAAGCCCAAAGGCTGACTTAGCACAGTTTAAAAACTTCACCTTTCAGAGTTCATTCATCCAATCCACATCTTCTTTTTTAGAGGACGTGAGATTTTTACTAACCATACAAAATACACCTCTACATTCATTTTACAAGCTCCCTCAGTGAATGTGAAATGTGAATTTCTTTCCTGCAGCTTCAACCTTCCAACAGTGACACGTTCATAATGTGCATTAGAGGCTGACATTTTTTCGGGAATCCCACGGGTCCCGGGATTCCCGTGGGATTCCCGCAGGATGGGAGTCATCTTTGCTATTAATCACGGGATTTGGACGGTACAGGATAAATGGTTAACGGGAGCAGACGGGAGCGGGAATCAACCAATAGCAAAGACGACAAAAAAAAAAAAAAAGAAAAAGGTAAATGCACCATTTTGTAGTTTCCTTTTAATACGCCTAAAATGTAGCGAAATTAAAAAATAACTACACGACCCAGCTGTTCCAGAAGCCATCAGTGCTTTTTGTCACGGCTTACCGCCGGAGAGCAGTGATGGAGGGAGCTAATAGCCGCGGAGAAGTCGATGTAGCAAAAAAAATGATTTACAGCGCAAAATCAGAAGTAATGACATGTCTATTAAGTTCACAGAACGGGTCGGAAAGTCTGAAAAATTAAGTATGTGAGAGTAGAATGTGACGGTGATAGCACGATGTACGCTGCTTGTAAGACATGCATAAAAGGGGGTCGCACACCGGACGAGAAGCGCAGCGCCGTGTCTAGGACAACTCCAGGTAACGTATCGCACACTGGACGCGCACTTTCTCATCAGTGTATGGCCAGCAATATTGTTATGTTTAATGACATGAAATGAAGATAATGTCTGTTCTATGTTAGATTGTACTGTACAATTAAATACAATCATTACTGAGTCTGCAGTCTGAAAACTTTACCTCAGAGCATCCGTTAACTGAATGAATTGAATGAAATCTCAAATGAAAAATCCAATAACATCAGCAATTGTCATTCAAGCAGCTGATTTCTGTAAATGAATGCAAAACTAAATGTATATTACTGCATAGGGTGAAGTCAGGATACATTAGCAACGATTTGAGACAAGAATACTTTAAATTTTATATAAAACTATGTAAATGGCGCTCTGTGGCGCAGCAGGATTTTGAACACGGTCCTGAGACGTTGCTGGGCGCCGCGGACAGACACAGAATGTGTTCGAATTTTAAAGATTCTGCGCGGCGCTGAGCTTCTCGTCCGGTGTGTGACCCCATAGTAGCAAGTGAGTAGCAAGTGCAAGTCGCAAGTCAAGTAGCAAGTGATTCAGGGATGAGCGGTCTGAAGAGGCACGCAAATTCAGGAAAGAATAAGCCATGTTGCAGCCTACACAGCAACATATAACTAAAATTTGTCTCATTATGCAAGAGCATAATTGATGAAAATCGTTTAAAATGTAATTAAAAAAAACTGTAAATGTAAACTGTAAATGTATTGTTTACTCAACAATAAATGAGTAAAATTCAGCTTTATGTGCTGTTTGGGTTTATTAAATTGTAGACATGGTGTGATGTACTGTTTTTCTTTTATTTACTGTCTTCCATTTTCTGGAGAAAATCTAGAAACTGGGGCTCAGCAGCTGGTCTAAAACAGGATGGATTGGAGAGGATGCAGAATTGCAGATTAAATCAAATTCTATGTATTAAACATTAATTGAAGAAAAAATATATATGGGAGCGTTACAGGAGTGGGAGTCAGTTTAAACAGGAGTGGGATGGGAGTGGGAGTCAATTTACCAGGAGCGGGATGGGATGGGATTATTTTTTAAACTTTGGTCTGGGAGTGGGACGGGACAAGATTTCTTTCTATGGGAGTGGGACGGGACAGGAGTGAAAATCCACTCCCGTGTCATCCTCTAATGTGCATATTCCTTACAGCTCTGAAGCTGAACCTCTCTGCGACGGTAACCCGAGACGTGATGAAAGCAGACGGCATTAAAACCGACGTCTGGTCAACACCAATAATTCTGAAGCCCCTGCAGCGGTTCACACCGCATTTAAAAACTTTACAAAGTGATAAAAACCATTAACAACTCCGGGCTGTCAGACGTCTAGCGAAAGAGATCTCACTTGAATCAACAAGCATGCCAAGTGAAGAGGTCATTGCTTGAGCCAGCAGGAATATTGATGACAGTACCTTCAGAAGCAGTTTGCAGATCTCGTATTTGCCCTTGGCCGCGGCCTCGTGCAGCGGGGTGAACTTCCACAGGTCTGCCACGTTGACCGACGCACCGTGTCTAACCAGCAGCTCTGCCACTTCGTAATGGCCATACGAGCAGGCGTTATGTAGCGGCACCAAACCTCTGCCGGCAGACAGGGAAGTTGAGAGATAACAGGGACAAGAAGATTATAGCTTATCTCCTAGTGCTGCTAACTCATGCACTGACTGTTAATGAAGTTGAAGTTCAGGACGTCTCACCCTTTGTCTTTGGCGTGGACATCAGCGCCGTGGTGCAGGAGGTACTCGACCACGGCCACGCGGTTGTAGCCAGCGGCAAAGTGGAGCGGCGTGGAGTGACGACCCTCCAGGTCTCGACAGTTCACATTCTGAGGGGAGCAAAGTTGCTATACAAGACGAAACAAACAGCATTAAACTGAATGCGAATACAGAACTTTACTTTAATGCTTAAACACATTCATTTCATTTGATCTGCTTTTATAGGGTAACAGGCCAAAATTATGGCAAGCGTCAGTAGCGATTCTGATTAATTTGCCTGACAAAAGTCTAATTGGTGCTCTGATCTAATTACTTTACACATAATGAGGCTTTCAGATAATGAGGATCTGATTACATCAAAGGCATTCATCCATACAGACATTTTTATCATCTCTTTCTAAGTCACTATCTTCAGGATTACATTACCAATCAAAAGTTTGAGGTTAGAAAGCTTTTGATCAAAAGACTCCTGCTTAAATTATCGAAATTAGTTTTGAAGATGAATATAAATTGTACTGACATCAACAATTCTTTATCATTTTAATAACATTTATTTTCATGTATAACAATTTGGCAATATTAGTAATATATTAATACCATCATTCAAAAGTTTGGGATTGGTAAAAATATATATTTTCAAAGTCTGTTATTTATTTGAACAAACTGTAAAAACAGTGATACACAGAAATATTATGATATATATAATGTATCCTTGCTGAATAAACATTCAACGTTTCTGTATAGACAAACTGTAGACTGAAGTGTATGTAACAAGATGCTGTGTTTGTGCGTATGCTGGCTCAGCGTTTTCTCTCTACCACACACACACACACACACACGGTCGAAAGGTGAGTTCTTCTTACATCTACCCTGTTCAAGGTCAAGAGTACAGAACAAAATAGATTTAAGAGCTGCAAGCTATGTCCTTGAAATGTTTAATTGTCTGGGATAAAGGAACTAAACCCATTCAGAGTTTTATTCCAGACAAAAGTCTATAAAAAAAATTCAATATCCATAACTGCAGATGTATTTTCATCCCAATCTAACCTGGAGCTGTTTTGTAGGACTATATTAATGAAAACCAATTTTAAAAGTTATTACAAAGTATCTTAAACAAAATGTCAAAGTTTGTCACTAAAAAAAGGAAAGATTACAGCTCAGATTTCTCTTTCTAGAGTGTTCTATCCCATAAAGTTTCATGTTATATCTTGGTTCCATCAAATCACAACCAGATTTTAAGGATCCCCCACCTCCAAACCACTAGCCTGGGAAAACCCAGACAACTTCCGGCAAATTTAGATTTCTGGCAAAGAGCTCATTCAAGCCCATTTCCAATCTGTCGAAATCGCGGCACCAATCTGAAAGGTTGGGACGGGCTTTACACGATGACGACAGCGCTGGGATTTTGAAGCAGATTTTGTAGCCTACATTACATTACAATGGATGTCTGCGTCAAACATCACTCGTTCGAATCAGCTATCGCGTCTGTTTTAAGTGATTTGAATGTTTCCTTTTTGTGAAAAACCGAGCAAAGAACAACACTCGGAGATGTTTCTCCGCCGGCCGCCGCTCTGCATACGTCATCTCCTTCATCGCTCTGACTGGTTTTAGGTCTACCTGCGATGTCCGTTGGTGACGCACCTCTGATTTGTCTATGACGCTTTATGATGGTTACAACTGAGAATGGTCTAGTTTTAACCAGGCTACCAAACCAACTTTAACCCTTAATTCTTAGACAATAGGGCTATTTCTATTTGAAACCATATTGAGGGATATCTCACCTTCACAGTGTCCAAGTCTCCTGCTTTTGCTGCTTCTAAGAGTCTATAATCCACATCTGAGTTCCTCACTGGAATGTTTTCTAACAGACACAAACATAAATTAACATGAATTTCCATAACTGTTAATGCATAAGGATACAGAACATCAAAGCCCAAATAAACAATCCCAAACCCCAGATTCAGACTGTACCATTGAGGATCTGCTGTACAGCTTCATTGCCCATCTGTGCAGCTGTAAATCCCTGCAGAGAGACGATGGTGGGGTCAGCTCCATAAGTCAACAGCATCCTACAAGTCTGCAAGTGTCCAGCCAGAGCCGCCCGGTGCAACGCCGTCTGACCCAGAGTGTCAACAGCATTCATCTATAAACAAACACCAAAAAGGATGGAAAGAAAGTGAGCAGCCTGGAATATCCCTGATCAGTGAAGTGCACATCTGAATGCAGCCCACATAGCAAGAATGAGCTGTAGGCAAACTTGGCCTCTTTTGAAATGAACACAAATATGAATTAATCAGACAAGTCCCTGGGAAACTTCTACACTCCTTCAAAGCCTCTCAACACTGAACAGTGAAGAAATAAAGACCTACTGCACAATTGTGTGCGGTTTAGCATATGACACAAATACAGTTCATTATTCTGTTTTAGTAAAATCATGCTTTACTGGAAGTGCAAATCGTACAAATCCTCTATATCAAACACACACTGGCTTTGTTCACACTGCAAATTATCTGCTTATAAAATAAAAAAGTTTTACCAATAGTAATTCATAAGACTAATTTTGAGATAAAACAGAAAGTGAAATATCATTATATATTTATAATAATGAAATATCAGCTTGAATGCTTAAATCAGTGTTGAAATGTAAAAAAATTTCCCTTAATATATCATACAATCTCATTTACATCTGCTAAAGGACAAGATCGAAATTTGGACACATCCTGATGGCCCGAGAATTTTCGGTTTCTGTGGTTGCACAGAATTTGTCCTTTAAAATTTCTGGTTTCTGTTAATATTTTTTTTGCCAAAATTGGCTCTTTCCATTAAAAAACAAAACATTTTTATTGCAATTTTGGATTAAAATGTTCCACAGCAAAATGGTTGGTGCATTACTACTATACATACTGTACGATTGCATAGTTGCAAATTATATATACATTAAAAAAGGTAAAACTTTACAGTAAGGTTCCATTAGTTAAGGTTAGTTAATTCATCAACTAACAATGAATTTGCTCAATCAATTTGATTCAGTACTTATTATTGTTATATATTGTCTGTTTATGTTAGTCCAGGTTCATTAACTAACGTTAACAGATACGTTAAATTTTAATCACCCAAAGTAAATTATGAGATTCACATTAACTAAGATTGATAAATGCTTTATAAATAATGAACAATTCTAAAGCATTTATCAATCTCAGTTAATGTGAATCTCATAATTTACATTTGCGTGATTGAAATCAAATATATCTGTTAACATTAGTAAATACCATAGTTAATGATATATCCTTTAGAGAAATATTGTTAATTGTTAGTTCATGTTAACTCATGTAGTTACCTTATTGTGAAGTGTAACCAAAATATTCAATCCAATATGAATGAAAAACACAAAAACTTGAAATGCATGCAGACCACATACACTACCGTTAAAACATTTGGGGACCGTAAGATTTCACATTAATACTATTATTTGCCATTCATATTAAAAAAGTGTGATTATTTCAAATAAATGCTGTTCTTTCCACTAAAATATTAACATGACTAGTATTTAACATCGATAATGTAATGATAAGGAATGTTTCTTGAGCAGCAATCAACATATTAGAATGATTTCTGAAGTAGTGATGCTGAAAATTCAGCTTTACACAGGAATAAAACGCATTATAAAATATGTTAAAAAAAGAAAGAAAAATATTCTTGATCAAGTAAAAGCAGCCTTGGTGATAAGACATTCCCAAACTGTGGAATAGAAGTCTACAAAGGAGGTGTGTGAAATTCGGGCTGTCCAGATACTGAACAGATTACAGTATATGCCAAAACATGCCAGTTTGAACAAAGCCATAATATCCTTATAGATCTTCAGCTAATAAGCAGCTTCCATCGTCAGCTGATGCCTTCAGTAACTGGGTACTTTAGACAGCTTTATTCTTCATGCTTCCTGCTCTTCTTATAAACGCAACGCTTCTGCACCATCTGTTTACTGGTTCACACATGGTCCGTAAACACACACTTGCTTCAATAGCCTCTTGTCTTTGAACCTCCACCCTGACTAATTATCCAGTCCATTAATGTCACTTAAGCCTGGCCGCTGAAGTTTGGCAGCGAGCTGGGTCGCAACACCAGTTAACAATCGGATGCCTTTCCAAGGGCTCGTATTCCAAAAGATGGACGCTGGTGATTGAATGATGAAATTCGGGTTGTGGCGGGTCAGCCTCCGTTTATTTATCATGTAAGAGAGCTGGGATGCGAGGCTTTGAAAATCAAGCTGCTCCAGACAGCATAAAAGAGCACACAGCATCAATGGAGAGGACCTCCCGATAATACAACCTTGCGTGAAAGTAGGACAGGCAAGTTTGATGAGCGGGGAGCCCCTTTAGACACACTCTCGAATTGAACAAAGAAGGCAGACTGCGGTGAGATTATTTACAGGAGTATCGGCTCCCCTGGTCTCTCCGCCGAAGAATAGCTGATCAGCCCTGATGCTCTCAGCCAAGGCAGTAGCTGAATGCCTGATCAGTTAGTCGATGCTTATCTGATTTGGCTCTCTGAAAGAGCTCCATTGATTTGGAAGTCTTTTACCCCTCTCTGCTCTGGAGAGGTAATGACATGAATGATGTAGCTCGTAAATGTCCTCCAGTTTCCCTGACACAGTCCAGCAATGAGACAAGCAGGCTGTTTACCTATATGTTTGGCACTTTTCATGTGCAAGATTTAATTTTTAAAAAGAATTGCAATGGCAGAACTGGCTCACCACAGTGTTTAAAACACACTTACTATGAGATTTAAAGCTACAATGTGTAACTCTTTTAGTTTATTCTTAGCTAAAAACACTTAGTTCTTCCAAAAATATATGTGCTCATTAATGTATATTTACTTCGTTCAAGTGATAAAGTATTCTCGTGAGTGTATAATATGCCATTGAAAATACATACGGGTTAGGGGTTCTAATGTCGGTCGCCATGTTGACCCTCCATTTTGAAAGTACATTAGCCAAAGAGGGACATACCCGTTAATTCAAGCTTCGCCTTTCGCGTTTACGTTTGAGTTAACACTCATGGGCGAGGTCGAACTGGAAGCCATGTTAATCTTGGACTACATTGGCCACCGTAGGAGTTAAAACGAAATCGGAATTGAGGAACAGGAACTAATATATACCTTTTCACCGCTAGATGGGGGTAAAAATCACACAGTGTTTGTGCATGTTTTTGCTTCCAACAAAATAGCGATTCTGATTCTACTAACATTTAAAAAAAATAATTTTAAAATGTAACTTATTCCTGAGATGGCAAAGCTGATTACTTCAGTGTCACATGACCCTTCAGAAATTATTCTAATATGCTGGTTTGGTGCTTAAGAAACATTTCTTATTATTAGTTGAAAAAAGTTGTGCTGCTTACTATTTTCGTGGAAACCTTGACGCCCTTTTTATGGATTCTTTAATGAATAGAAAGTAAAAAAAAAGTATTTACTTGAGGCATAAATGTCTATACTGTCACTTTTGATTCATTTACTGCATTCTTGCTGCTTTTTTATCATTCTGAACTCAATCTTTGTAATGGTAATGTATATTTGGAATACATTTACTCTATTCAGCAGCCTGTTCAGCATTCATTTCAGACTTCAAGAGAACAACTTGAAAACACAAACACCGCTCGAAAAAAAAGAAATTGTTTCAGGCAACAAAATTCTAGAGAGCTTATAACTTCATGTTTTCAAATTCATTTAATCAAGCAACAGCATTGTCTTTATTATGTGTTTTAAACCCATAGTTTCGATTTAGTTTATCTGCGAGGAATGTAAATGTGCCAGGTCTACGGAAAAAATGTAAAAGGCGCTCCACGAACAGAAGCGGCATATTATTAATCATGGGAGACCATTTTCCAATTTGCTCTGATGCGTAAATTGCATAATTTATGGATTTTAACGCAGTTTTATCTGCATTGGTGGAAGAGTACAACTGAAAAACAAACTGAAAATAACTTATAAGTGAGTTAAATATTAAGTTAAATATAAGTGATTCCAATATTAAAGATAAACTAGTTCTGAATCAGAGATAGTTCTTGATTTCCAAAACTAGTGATCAGATTCCTAACCCTAAGTAGATCAACCCACTAAAGTCTCTTTGTAAACAAAGTGATGAATGTTTGGCAGTTAATTAGGAAGATGTTAGCATATAAACACTTCCATACTGATGATGAGCACTTCCATCTCAAAGCCAATTATCTCATCCACTGATAACCAGACAAATTAATATGACAAAAAAAAAAAGAAGTGCAGTGCTAGCAAAGCTCATTCTTCATTCTTCTCCTCATGCAGCAATTACATGATGACTCAACTGCACACAAAAGTGGAAGTGACAAAAACGCTGCTCCACTGAACTGATTTTTCTCGGGCTGAGAATAGACACAAAAAAGGTGCAGTGGTTCTGTAGAGGCTATATTCGAAATTTTTATACTGTTTTTTTCCACATAAGGTCCTCTTACAATGTCAGTAAAGGGTTCTTGTATCAAAAACAGTCCATGTAGTTACACTAATTTATCCCCACACTCCCCTGACTGTAAGCTGTGAGAGGTGGATGGTGAGGTGTCAGGTGTGTAAATGTGTGTGTCGTAGCTCTGTTGGCACTCAAGAGCACGTGTACGGATGTGGCGCTGCTGATGCAGGACCAGCTGTTTACCTTCGCCCCGTGTTTCTGCAGGACCTCCATGATGTCGTTGTGCGCCCGTTCTGCTGCCACATGGAGAGGTGTCATGAAGCTGCACAGCAGAGGAGGAGAAGATAATGGAGACAAAAGGGGCTTTCACACCAGAGGAACATTTTCATAGTTCCTAGAACTATTGGCGGATGTACCCGCATTTTGGCGTGTTCGCACCGCAGGAACTAGAAGGAGCTCCTACTTCAAGAGTAGGGTCTAAACCAGCGCTTAAAGGGTTAGTTCAACCAAAAATGAAAATTCTGTCAGTATTTACTCACCCTCATGTTGTTCCAAACCTCTATGTGTTTATTTGTTCTGCTGAACACAAAGGAAGATATTTGGAAGAGTGTTTTAATCAAACAGATCTCATTCCCCATTGACTACCATAGTGGGAAAAAATACATACTAGTCAATGGGGAATGAGATCTGTTTGATTAAAACACTCTTCCAAATATCTTCCTTTGTGTTCAGCAGAACAAATAAACACATAGAGGTTTGGAACAACATGAGGGTGAGTAAATACTGACAGATTTTTCATTTTTGGGTGAACTAACCGTTTAAGGAACTACCAGTGACGCAAGTGTACGCGGATTGGCCAGCTGGCGACATTAGGGATCAACCACAGAGAAAACGCAAATACTTTTTCATATACGTTTTGTAACATACGTATAGACATAACGTATTAGACAGGACTGTGACAGATAATAAAATAATGGAGACTAGGCGCTGTGTGCTAAGGCTCTAGCGGATCCGCCCTGCTGGCTAGATCCTAAAACTAAGTTCCTAAAACTACCCGGTGCGAAAGCCCCTAAACAGAGAAGATCATGAGAAAGACAGACATTAGCATCAGTCTTAAACACATGACAGGCACATTCACTCACTCTTTGTTCTTCTCATTGACATTGGCTCCTTTCCGTAGCAGCAGTTCAGTGACCTGTTTTCGTTTGGGGTGAGGCGAAGCTACCGTACAGTGCTGAAACACACAGAATAGAGGCCTTGTAAGTGTCACAGAAATCATTTTGGTAACATTCATGGGGCTATATGTCTTTTTTAATCTTGGATACCATTTTGGTAACCATTCACTTTTATTATATGAAGCAGAGCCGTGATATCCTGCCTGAATAGGTACTCTATCGGTTTAAGGAACAAAAAAGCAAATCATTTAAAATTGGAAAGACATGAAGGTGAGTAAATAATGACAGGAGTTTCATTATTGGGTGAACTATCCCTTTAATATCTGTTTTCAACCTGATTTTTCAGCAGGAGAGATTCAAAAGTGAGTGAGGAAGGGCTCACCAGTGCCGTCTCGTGCGTCTGTGGGTGCTTGAAGTTGATGATCTCTAAAGCTAGGCTCTTCTTCACCTTGGTCATGTCTGCTTCCCGTGCCGCCTGAAGAAGAGAGTGGCCCTTAAACTCGTCTGCACCGGAGGAAAAGAGAAAATGTAGAGAGGTGATGCAAGACGCTCTGACAGAAGCCGGTGGTAGACATAATTCATCAAGACAGAGCGTGAAAAAAAAAGTAATTGAAGCTTTACAGCTACAAAGCAATCTGGCTTTACGGCAGCAAAAATAAGAGTTAGGGTTTCTAAAATGTATGACTGAATCTTGACCTGATCGAATTCATTTTGTGCATTCAATTTGTTATGCTTCTGCTCATAAGAACTGTAACGACGGAACATTATTCCACCTACAAAAGTGTTGTTTTACTGATTATGAGTACATTTAAATTACCTTTGTTATTATTTGCAACAGTTAAACTTAAATGAATATCCATTTTCATAGTTTGTAAACATCACCATTTTCACCTCTTTTTTGCAGGTTTGATTATAACATTATTATGTACACTATATTGTTGTTGGGGGGGTCTGAGAGAATTCTTTGTGATTTTAACATGTAAACGAACTATTCTGGTGCACTCTAACAAAAAATAAAGGGAAAAGACAATATTTGCTTCAGTTAAAAAAACAAACAATTATTTGGACTTTCAGTCCAAATTCAGTAGCACCTCATTGCAGTACATGAGATCCAGGGGGCAGAGTTGGATCCAGATATAAGGGGTGGAGATGGGTAAGATTAGGGGTGGGGTTAGGGATCAGGGGGCAGAGATTGGTAGGATTAGGGGTGGGGTTAGGATCAGGGGTGGAGATGGGTAGGATTAGGGGTGGGGTTAGGGATCAGGGGGTGGAGATTGTAGGATTAGGGGTGGGGATAAGGATATGGGGGTGGAGATGGTTAGGATTAGGGGTGGGGTTACGGATCAGGGGGTGGAGATTGGTAGGATTAGGGGTGGGGTTAGGATAAGGGGTGGAGATGGGTAGGATTAGGGGTGGGGTTAGGGATCAGGGGGTGGAGATGGGTAGGATTAGGGGTGGGGTTAGGGATCAGGGGGTGGAGATTGGTAGGATAAGGGGTGGGGTTAGGGATCAGAGATGGAGATTGGTAGGATTAGGGGTGGGGTTAGGGATCAGGGGGCGGAGAGAACTTCCTCAAAAAAGAAAAAAATAAACTAAAAAATAAACCAAACTCAAGTTGGTATATCATTATAATATTAAAGTCCTCCTTTAGTCAGCAATTTTTTTCCTTAAAACTTATCTTTAATCTCCAAAAAAACCTATTTAAACAATATTCCAGTAAAAATATTTCACTCATTCCTTTAAATAGCCTAAAGTGTAACTTAATTTAGTATACGCGGGATACATAAATATGCAAATAAGCTCCGCCTCAACTCCCTCAAACAGGCTCATTTACAAGTTGATGTATCAGAATGGTAATGCATTTTCATTTTCTAGCTGACTAATGAGTTTTTGAAGATTGAATGGCTTTTCTAGGGTAAATGAGACATTATATGGCATTGTTTGCAAGCCGTTTTATTGATGCCTTTCTACGGTTGAAACACTGATTGAACAATTACATGTGAGATGATCTAGATTTTGGCAAGTTGTACTACAGTATATATTTTAACATCCTAAAATACCCATAGCACAGGCTCAAACTCAACATAAATTCCACATAAAGGAAAATCTTCACACAGCAAATTGTGTAAAGTTTCAGTCAGAAGTACATCACTCCAACCCACACTGGGAGAAGACAGATGGAGAATTCACAGGCAAAATAAATAACAACGTCGCCTGCCAACCTCATCAACACACTGGAAGTCAGCCTTTACTACGCTTGAATAATGCAGAACGAGACTATTGTAGGTTTAAAGGCGTCTTTCTCAAAGCCTTGATGTGTCTGTCTCAATTCCAGCGAGAATGTGGCAGGAACAATCAAAGCCATGTTGCGTCTAGCTCGCTTAAACTTTTAAGGAAACAAGTGGGATGAGTTCTGTGGGATCTGATGCCACTTATGCAGAGCAATGGTAAAATATCCCGGTCTGTTCTCTTCACTTCACGCTTTAGCACTAAGGAACACTGCTGTTTTATAAAAGCTGTAAGTAGAACTGGATTCTGGATACATTGAGAATCACAATTTTTGTTTCACATACGTGTCGCGATCCTGAAAAGACAATTAAACAAAACAAATATAATTTACAAGAAGTTCTGACAAAATGTTAACTGCATCCATCTATTTAAAAATGTTTAATTTGAAAGAATTTAAAAATCGGTTTGAATGAATGATTCAACGACTCACTCATGAATACTCATAAAGTGTTTTTGAATGAATCTCTTTAATTAATGATTCACTAACAAATACATATTGTTAACAGTTAATTGTCGCCACATAGCATAAAACTCTAACCCTGGCGTAAAGATGTAATCCATATAATTGTTATTTAATGCAATTAAAAGTTAATTTCAAAAGGTGATTTACTATATTTTGATTGCTACTCTTATAGAACATTTAAGCCGTTATACTGCCTCAGAAGTCAGTCTTGTGCGGTACCTTTGTGCGCAAATGCGACCTATGAAGACTTGAAAACAATTTTAAATAGTCACACTTATCTTGTCATGGTAAATGTAGCCTTGAGAAACCAATATTCTCTTAAAAACATAAAAGAAATTGTACTGATCCCAACAGTGAGTGGGGTCAGTTTAATTAAAATAAAAGGTAAACTCACATGTGAGCCTCTCTTTGAGTTCAGGGGTCGGGGCCATGTCCACCGCACTCTTCCCATGGCAGTTGACTAGCGTGGGGTCGGCTCCGTGACTCAGCAACAGGGAACAAACCTCCACGCGATTCTTGGAGGCAGCCTCGTGCAAAGGGGTGAACTGCCAGAGGTCCATGGCATTGACGCACGCCCCATGCTACAGAAAAACATTCATGGAGAGATCACATTAAAAGGATGGTACCATTTCAGAGGCACCAGATTCATTTTCAAATACACTGAGAAGATTATGCCGTTCCACTTGACTAGTTAGAGCAGTTTTAGCATAGATTATGAATTTATATCTATTAGGAAACATTCTATGCCCCAGAAGCCAAGTTAATAGCACTGAGGGAAAAGAATATCGAACACATTTTTAGAAAATGGCAGGTTTCCAGGAGGGAGACATCAACTTGCACTCAAAGGCAGGGGGTAGACAGTACAAAACTGTGGCATAAATCTTCTAAAAAGAAAAAAAGTCTTTTTACCATCAAATGCTAAATAAAAAAAATTAGACAATAAGTTTACAATGATCTTTGCCATAGAAGTGAATGGCTTCTGGGACTAAAAACATGAAAATCAATGGCATCAGGTGTGACATGCTTTGATTGGCCATATTCGAAAAGTTGAAAATATGAATGAGATGTGAAATCAGTGGAGATGATTATCAGTGAATAATGACTTAAACTTCTGTCTTTTCATAGAAAAATACATTGGATGGCTTCAATATAATACACAAGGACTACTTTGAAGGTGCTTTTGTAATTTTTGTAGTTTGACCGTCCCTGGTCACAATACACTCTCATTGTAAGGAAAACATTCTGCTGAAAAATTTCTCCTCGGGTGTTTCATGAGATGAGGGTCAGTAAAACATTTTTGGGCAAATACACCCCTTTAAAAGACTTCTTGAGCTGGCTGCAAGTGAGAGGAGTGAAACAAAAGCTCCGGAGGAACTAAGAAACATTGCGATAACGCCAGGTATTCATAATAATGCATCTATGTAAAATAAATCTGATCATTGTAAGGTACATTTAATCTAATACAATGAGATCTGGGGAGCTAGTGATATTGTGATAAGCTCTCAAGAGACTGAGAATACTCTGCTCTGCTTTGTATCAAACTAAAAATATTGTTCTAGAGGCAGATTGGCTGCTCCACAGGGCTCTGTTGACACAGCAAGCATGGGAGAACACACCATGAGCATAGTGTTCCATAAAACTGCTTTGTAAATAAAGGCAACTGGACTTAAAGGCCATACTCTGTGAATATTCTGGGAGAGAAACTGAACAAACTGAACTTGAACAACAAATGCAGAATGAAGCTGCATATGCAAAAATCAAGGAGATTGAAGAAGATGTCACTTTCGTATTGAGCTAGACGATAAAGTAAACAAAGCCAGGGTTATAGTGTGCCGAAGTGATGACGTCACTTTGTAGGACAACTCGGAAGCTAGCGGCGCATGGGTTCCCTCGATCGAAAAGCTATTTGTTTTCCCCATAGACTTTTGGAAAATCACAAAAAATAAGATCTGTGTTTAAAAAAAAAAAAAAGAGTGTGATCCTTACACGTTTTGTTCATCAAGATACTGTTTACACGTTAATCCAAAATGTATACATTTTGAAGCATATATAAAGTTTTTAAAAAAACACAAAAAAAGTTTAATAAGTGTAAATAAGTGCAAGTTGAAGCACTAAAATTACTAACTAGAACAAAAACTGAAAACTAAAATAATAAAAGTTTTAAAAGTTTAAAATCGATTCTCTATTTTCGTTTTCGAAACTTGTGTTGGTTTTTCTGATCGATTGTGCAATCGATTTTCGAACAAAGTTACAGCCCTAGTGTGTGTGTGTGTGTGTGTGTGTCTGCACAAATCGCAGCTCGTTTAAGATATATGTGGTGCAGGACTTTGGAACAAGGACAATATACTGATGCTGGGACTAGTCATTGTGACAAGACAGAATCCAATTGACTGACAGTTGCAGTTGCAACTAGTTAGGACAAACCCTCAGATTAACATGTTGCTTCATTGCATTGTGCGTCAGTACATGCTGCTCAAATGGAACAGTGTTGTTTGTCTTCCATACAGGTCACACTCAATATAAGCATACACACTCAATCAGGTTTTTGTCCTTACCTTCAGCAGTAGCTCTGTAACCTCATAGTGTCCATATGAACAGGCGTTGTGCAGAGGAACAAGACCACTGAGGATTGCAAGAACAGAAAAACACACACACACACGCACACACATAAAAATCATTTATGCACAAAATGGGCTTTTACTTTAAGAAATATATGGAAAAACAAAGGCAAATGAACCAAAGCTTTTAGCAGAGTCAAAATAGCTAATGGAAACGATCTTTATTTCAAAGTGAAGTTTGGGGGGGGGGGGAGTGACATAAGCAGACCTACCCTTTGTCTTTAGCGTGAACATCTGCGCCATGTTGTAGGAGAAGTTGAACGATTCGAACTCTGTTGTATCCGGCTGCCAGATGCAAAGGAGTGGACTAAAAAAGAGAAAAGAGAAAATGAATATACCATAAGATATACCGTTCAAAAGTTTAGGGTCAGTACGATTTTCTTAAGAAATAAATACTTTTATACAACCAGGGCACATTAAACTGATGAAAAGTAACAGTAAGAGACTCCTTCTTTATGTGTACAGATGTGACGTAATGACGCATAGATATGCTCGAATCTCCTGCGGAAATCCACCAGTACCACTGGAATTAAAAACATTATTACAAGCTTACCGCTTTGAATCGAGCTAAGGCAAGCAGATAGTTTAGAACAGTATTTTCTCAAATATGTATTTTGGATCATTTTTGGATCAAAAAAACCCTTTCTATTCTTTATGCTTCTTTAAAATATATTATAGCCTTTTCTCTGAAAGGGATTGGTTTGTTTGACATGTTAGGAAATAAGTCCATACTTGGGTTCCTCTCCTACAAAAAGAGCTGAGCTCATGACTGAATTTTGCTGTAAGGACATCACACTTTATTGCAGCTCTGTGGCTTGTAACCGCGCCTGCCAATCCAACCCTGTACTGTCCTACTGAGAATGATATGGATTATGATGGGTATCAAAAAAAAAATACAGGCTAACATAATAATTAAGGTATTCAATACCATATATTCAGTGTACCGCAGCACACAGCAGGATATAACAACAGTTCCCACAGCACAGTGTGATCGTAGCAAAAACTTACATCACCTGTATACTGATGATTGTTTTAAAATCTGTATTTGTTAAAATGGTTTTAAATTAAGTTAAAATAAAAGGCAACCTGATGCCAAAAAATTAAACATTAGTTAAAAAAATGAGATGCTAATCAAAAATTTGACTTTCAGGCATCAAGTAATCCATGCATTTGGCATTCAAGAACAAAACAAAAAGAAAATTGACAAGACAATCGAAAACAATCAAACAAAATGAGGATCAGGTGGCACAAACAAAATCAAATCCGCATTTAAGTCTCCAATGAAATGCGTCAAGGCACACAGTCATAAACCATCACAGCAATGTATTGATGTGAGCGAAGCACAATGCGCAAATTTCCATGTGTTCCCGGACCGCCTCAGTCTTGCGGTAAAAGCATGGATCATTCACCATACAACTGAAAATGCACGAAACAATGAAAAATCAATCTAGATGAAATTGAAAAACTTTGAATAGTGCCCTTCAATTGCAAAATAATAACAACAATACACAGTCACAAACTCTCAAAGGCATGCACACCAGGGTGTTGGAGGTTGTAAAAGACAAGGAAAAAAACTAGTGAAAGTGTGATTGGTGGAGTGGAAAGCTATAGCGGTAGAGGAGGTATATTAAAGCTCATTTATCGAGCCGATTGTACACTAAGCCTCGTCTTTAAGATAGATGTTTCACACCAGTGTTTTCCCTCTAACACCTTCACCCCAATCCATTGCATTCACAAAGCTGCAGTGTGTCAAAGCACCAAAATGGCCACAATGTGACAATCAAAGAGATGAATAGAATTTAAAAATAAATAAATAAAACCAACAGAGAATAAAATGAGTGCAATCGGGCTCTGTACTTTTATAAAAAATAAATAAACTTACCAGCATTTTTTGAGATGTCGACTGATAGACAATGTCGCCAGAATGACAAATAAAATCAAAAGAGAACAAAAACAAACAAAAACAAATAATGACAATGATAGCATTAAGCAATTCTGGCATATCCTGTAACAATTCCTTGTCTTTTGCACTGTAATTCTACTTGAGACATTGGTACAAGCTAAATGTAACAAAGCGCAGCACCATAATGGCAGCACCGCATTGTGACAGACTGAAATGACATGATTTCAACACAAACAGAATACGCAAGGAGTCCATCATTCTTTTTACTTTTCGGGGGAATTTGGGCTGACTTGACAGATAAGCTGTTACTAATTCAACCAAAACTCAACCAAAAATCATTCCAGGCGGCTGTGACCACGAGAACGCACTTGTGCTGCTAGTTTATTTGATTAGTCCTTTTGCTGAACACTGGTCTGCTGAGGAGTTTAGATCTTTCACTGAATTTGTATTACTGGTCCAAAAATAAAACCAAAACAGAAGAAAAGTCATTGCTCAGTTTTTATTAGCATCAAATAGAAGTATTACTATTGGTGTTTCTTTTCCGAGCAGATAACCATTAAAGGTCCCCTGACATGGGGTTATTTTATTGTTTCCTGGGTTGCCCTTATAATATGCATTTTGGGAGCACAAAACCAATGTGTTTAATTTGCAACGAGACGGTTGCCATTGTCAAGAGTGGTAACTTGAAACGTCATTATGACTCAAAGCACGGACACTTTGACCACAATTACCCACTTAAATCTAAGGTGAGAGTCAGAAAAATCAAACAACTGCAATCATCATACCATGCAACATGCAGTGTAACAGTTAGATCAGCCACCCAACAAGAATGTGCAACTGAAGCCTCATTAAAAGTGGCGTGGCCTTAGGAAATCACAAGAAACCATTCCCTGACTCGGAGATTGAAATGCATGACTTAAATAGCAATTGCCTTGTTTGAAGGAACTCAAAAATTAAACCAAATATCTTTGTCTGACTCCACTGCTGCAAAGCAAACTGAGGTCCTTGCTGAGGATTTGCTCAACTAAATGAAGTCTGCAACAAAAAAGGCTAAATGCATTTCATTGGCTTTGGGTGAATCCTCAGAAAACGCACAACTTCTGGTGTTTGTCAGATTTTTTGATGAAGAGAAGATGTGTTAGGCCTCAAAGCCCTCCATGGACACACAAGAGGGGATCATATCATATGAAGCACTGATGCAGATATTGAGAGACAGAGAGATAGACCTAAACCATGTTATTTCCATTGCTACTGATGGTGCTCCATGTACTGTATGACTGGAGCTCATCAGCCTGACCTAATAGCATATCATTGCATCAGATGGTTTTGTGTTCCAGTCTTGAAGGAAAGTATGCAGAGGTCATGACAACAGTAAAGAGATTTTTTGAGGGCATCATCTGCTCTGCAGCATCGCTTGTTGCACTCATTCCAAACAGAGGTGAATGCAGAATTTATGTCCGGTGGCTTAGTAAAGGGCAAGGCAAGGTACTGGAGCGCTTTTGAACATTACAAAAAGAATTGGAAACAGAAGAGTCCAAAAGCAAAACAATTTGTGGAATTTATTCAGAATGAAGAAAAAAATGGATATTGTTGCATTTCTATCTGACGTTACCTACCATCTCAATGATCTGAACATGAAGCTCCAGTGCAAAAATAACACAGTGTGTAACCTTACATCAGCTGTCTGTGCCTTTCAGAAGAAACTGGAGCTGTTCAAGTGTGACTTACAGCAAGACCTGCTTCACTTCCCAAAGCTTTTAACTCAAACAGCATCACAATCATGCTGAATTCCTGGACAAGCTGATAACAAATTTCCAAACTCGCTTTGGAGATTTCCCTCTGGGAAAACAAGTCTTACTATGCATGGAAAATCCATTCCTTGTCAAAAACATCACAGAATTTTCAACTGAAACCCTGAAAATCTAGTGCTGCTTCTCTTCAATCAGAGCTAATTGAGCTTCAGGAAAATCTTGCACGGCAGGAGTCTCTCTGTGACCCTACCACCTTCTGGATCTGGACTAAGATGGTCCCTACAGCAAGTGTCCCTTCCTTGCAGAAGGTGGCCCTTCAAATTCTCACCATGTTTCCTTCAACATATTTTAGTGAGTCTGCCTTTTCAACCATGAATATGGTGAAAAACAAATACAGGAGCACCCTCAGTAACATCAGTGCCTCTGCCTGGCCCTCACACCTTTTATAGCCAAGTTTAAAGAACTGGTGGCACCAAAAAGGACTTTAACAACTTTTTTGTTGGAGTTCTGTTTTTGGATTTTGACTATCACTGTTCCGGACCCTGGACGCAAGAAAAATTTGGAGAGTGGACCTTTTAGGTTTCTAATTGAGTACTCCTGGGCTAAGGGAACTCATATTAATGTTAAAAAAAACTCAGAAAGTGAAAATTTCATGTCAGGGGACCTTTAAAAATTGTATGATAAATATGAACTCACATCCATTTTCGTTGTCATTTTACATTTCATTATTTTCAACAGTAACAGTAAAAATAAAGGCCGACCCTTGAGGTACACCATGTTATTTTACCAAGAGGGAAATATTCATTTGAGGATATCCTGAGCAACCTGAATCCTGAATCAAACCATTCAAGAGGCTGGATCACCATGGCAAAACACTCATACAGTAGCCATGGCTACACTCAATCACTTTAGCCCCTCCTGCCAATCTGTCCAGAAAGCAAACTGGGCTAACAGGAAAGACACATCCTGCAGAAAACACACACGCTCCCTTGTGCTCTCTGCAAAACAAAGTAAAAGACAAAATCTAATGGCAGCTTACCATAGGCTATTATATCTGCTTCTTGCAGATCCTCCATCAATTTCTTTAAGCGCCCGACACACCGGCAAAACTGCCGTCTCACTTAAGATGAATGTGTTGCCTAAAGATGTACAGCTGGAAATATACTACCCTCACACACTCCAAATCGCAACATCCTGGCACTGTTTAAAAGGAGTAGAATGCCAAAATGCCCTTTTACTTTGTTTTAGGGATAAAGAATTGGCAAACAATGAAACTATTCGCGATTCTACGTATCATCTATCGATTCGAATCAAAATTTTCAAAAATCGATTTTCAAAAGTGTTACATTTCTTTAACTTCACAGAGTACATATTGAGACGTTAGTGGTATTAATGCCCTGCTCGTGCTGATCACAGATGCATGCAAATCATTCACAGCTTTTTGAGCTTGAATGCTTGCCTGTTGGTCCTGCGCTAACAAACAGTTAGGAAAAAATCGGATGTGTAACAGTATATTATATCCGTGCATTTGTTCCTAAAAAGACAGCAGCCTTAATTAATATTATTTGTTTTTAAATCACTCATTTCCTTTGACTGAATCACTTTAATATGGAACAATTTACATTTAATTCATAGAAAGAAGACAACACAGTGTTTTATTTCTGAACCTGCAAAACTTAGTTTTTTTTAATTTGTATATATTTTTTTTCTATTGAGTATTTTTTAATTAGGCATTTGTGAAAAAGCGAGAAACAGTGTGAACTTGTGAGAAAATACAAAATGAAAATCTCTGGAAAGGATTAAAGAGATTGTGAAATGCTTCTATGTTTCTCACGGATGAAATATGTGCTGCTGGTCCTGTCCTAATCAAAATCAGAAAGCCTGAGCACAAATCTAAACAATGACCAAAGCAGGCATCTGAAATACAATTTCTTCTGAATGCTAGGTCTCCACTTATATAAATAAACTGTATTTTAAAAAAATTGGGTTGAGAGAAATTAAATAAACACTTAAAGAAACTATTAATTTTATTTGGCAATGATGCATTAAAACTTTTACACTGTTATAAAATATTTATATTTCAAACAAATGCTGTTCTTTTTCATTAAAAAAAAGATTAACAAATGATTTGCCATTTTCAATTTTCAATAATTATAAATATTTCTTGAGCATTCTTTAGGAATGATTTTTTTTTTATGATTCAGCTTTGACATGATGTCAATTTAATTGAGAGTCAATTTTGCTTGCGTTTTATTAAGTGATGTGATCACATTGTCAACATTTTTATTGCAAGATTATTTCACAATATAACTGAATTTAATCAAATAAATTCAGCTTTGGTATGTATAAGATACTTAAATTATACTGGTAAATCAGTGTAGCATGCAGCAAAACACAGTCTACACTAAATCAGTCATCCCTTAACATTAAGAGCATTAATTTTACCTAATTTTAGTGTCTAGAAAACAACAACCCCCTTGTTTTTCCTCAGAGTAGAAATATCCCATTGCCCAAGTCCTCCTCTTGTCTTCCCATGGAGGACTGGTGACCTGTATCCATGCCAACGGTGAGTGCTTCTCCATAGCTGTTGCCATGACTGCCGTACATGCTATAACTAGCATGAAATCAACACGGATGGAGCCTTTAAAAACAATGTGTTGCTAGGCTAAGTAACCCTTTAGTGCAACTTTGTTAGTGCTTATTTACTTATGAGAGTGTAGAGAAAAGGTAAAGGGTCTCTTTCATCCCTGTGCAAGTCTAAAGTAAACACCAGGTCCAGAGATAGTGTCTTACTAGCTGGAAGCAAGCAAACAGCAGGAAAGGGATACCGAGCAGCCAGCTTCACGCTGACAGGATCAATAAGGCATTACCCCTTCTCCCTGGTCTTCAAAAAGGGAAACATATATAACCTATTCGGGCTTCTTACTGCATATGGGTTCTTTAATAAAGAAGCTCATGGCACATATACTGTAACCTATTCGGGCTTCTTACTGCATATGGGTTCTTTAATAAAGAAGCTCATGGCCCAAAGGGGGGCGACGCCTGGTTCCTTCCTCCTAATCAAAACACCAGCAACCCCCTCCCTGATAAAGCACTGAAGGGTTTAATGACCAGTGCATTCAATAGGATGCTATTTCAAATCATGTGCCGTCAAGGGCTCACGTTTTCCCAGGGGTCTATTGCTGGAAAGGAGAGACAATTAGTCATGTGTGATAATTAACTGCAATAAAGTGTGTGTGTGAGAGAGAA